GCCGTATTTTTTTTCTCTGTTGAAAATCAAGAAAATGGAGATTTTCGTGCATTTACCAAAGTGGTGCTGTGCCGTTCCCACATAAGTAATTGTATTCTACAAGCCTGTACAATTACAAACATAAATTTCCACCTCTCTACAAGCTTTAGTTCTCGAGAAATATCGAATACAGTTTTCCCTAGTCATGTGGTCCAAGCTAAAATTCAAAGTTCTCGAGAACTAAAGCTTGTATAGAGCTGGAAATTTATGTTTGTTCTTGTACAGGCTTGTAGAATACAATAACTTATGTGGGATCGGCACAGCACCATTTTGGCAAATGCACGAAAATCTCCGTTTTCTTGATTTTCAACAGAGAAAAAAATACGGCAACGGCGCATATAGATGCTCTATGTGGATTATGTTTACGTGAGCAAGTTAGAATTTTTATAGGATTTTTATGAACAGAGTTACGATTTTTCTCAATTTTTCGAACACTGGAATGTTTTTAGTTTTTGGCGCAAACTCGTTGTGGATCAGAGCTATTGCTAAAGCAAGATAGCCATCTGGTAGGGCTTGCTTTGTTCTATCGAACGGTACCTTGCATCCTACTTAGAAATGAGAAGTGTATGACTTATTGCGTTGGAATTTAAAACCTGCATTAATTTCCGGACAACCTAATATTTGCGCTAAAAGTTTTTAGGTGTCAATATTTGATTAAGAAACTTGCTGGAAAAATTACCCTTCTTCTCAACCATACTTCTGCTAACAGCGGAAGCATAAGGAGCTTGGTTTCGAAGGAAGGAAAGAACTAGGGTTTTATACGACAGGACAGTTTCGGTAAGATTGTCCTTCAAAAGAAGGCGCTGGGCCAGCTACTGTTCAAGAAATGAGCCCGTTCACTGGCAAGACATCATCGAAGAAAGTGCTGCTTCGTTTTTACCGACATATCTGAGTTTTTGGCTGCTGGAAGACATAAATTGACGCTTCCTTTAACATGGCACTTTCCTGGAAATCAATCTGAGTTTTGGAATGAATCAGCTGCTCTAAACAGGTGCTTCGAGGTAGTTTCCTTGTTTAAGAGCTGTGGTATCTGGGCAAAGGTATGGGCAAGAAAACAGCAAAGATGCTTTGCGCAGTCAGTGGTAGTAGCTTCTTTTCCTAAGAGCATAGTGTTTTGTTTCTACTACTCACAACATGCGAAAGGTCGCTGGGAAGATGAAAATTCTCTTTCTTGGGATTTTAGTTGATTGGCAGATATCAATGTATCTGCCCCCACCCAACTACTAGCGACCCGTAGGGTCGCTAGTCTTATATATAAAGCTGAATGTCTGTTTGTCTGTATGTCTGTCTGTCTGTCTGTCTGTCTGTCTGTCTGTGTGTACGTATGTTCCGAATAGAAAATTCCATTTCTGAACCGATCCGGACCAAACTTGGCACACATACACTACGGGCCCCGGCGGGTGTCATAGGCTACTTTTCGTCATCGATCGATATCGATTTTATCGATTTTTATCGATTTTTTTGCTGAGTTCACCTACGGGGCTGGGAGTTGGCACAGGGGGGTAATCGAGCATGGGGATTCCGAATACAATATTGGTTTTCAGGATTATCGATTACTTTTATCGATTTTATCGATTTTTTTGCAAAGTTTGAGCTACGGGGCTGGGAGTTGGCACAGGGGGGTAATCGAGCATGGGGATTCCGAATACAATATTGGTTTTCAGGATTATCGATTACTTTTATCGATTTTATCGATTTTTTTGCAAAGTTTGAGCTACGGGGCTGGGAGTTCGCACAGGGGGGTAATCGAGCATGGGGATTCCGAATACAATATTGGTTTTCAGGATTATCGATTACTTTTATCGATTTTATCGATTTTTTGCAAAGTTTGAGCTAGGGGGCTGGGAGTTGGCACAGGGGGGTAATCGAGCATGCTGATCATCCCCAAGGGGGGTGATCAGCATGCTCGAACACCCCTGTGCCAAATTCCAGCCCCCTAGCTCAAATTTTCAAAAAATCGATAAAATCGATAAAAGTAATGGACGATCTTGAAAACTGATATAGTATTCGTAATCTGCATGCTCGATTACCCTCTGTGCAAACTCCCAGCCCCGCAGGTCAAACTTTGCAAAAAGATCGATAAAATCGATAAAAGTAATGGACGATCCTGAAAACTAATATTGTATTCGGAATCCCCATGCTCACTTCCCCCCTGTGCCAACTCCTAGCCCTGTAGGTGAACTCTGCCAAAAAATCGATAAAATCAATAAAAGCAATCGATAATTCTGAAAACTAATATTGTATTCGGAATCCCCATGCTCACTTCCCCCCTGTGCCAACTCCTAGCCCTGAAGGTGAACTCTGCCAAAAAATCGATAAAAATCGGTAAAATCGACATCGATCGATAACGAAAAGTGGACTGTGACACCCGCCGGGGCCCGAAGTGTATGTGTGCCAAGTTTGGTCCGGATACGGCGGAGCCGGGTAAGCCAGCTAGTATGATATGAAAACACAAAATGTGCCAAACAAAAAACACGTTCATACAGTGCTGGACAAAATTATAGGTCCACTCTAAAAAGTGCCATAACTCACTCTGTTGTCAATAAAATGTTCCAAAATTTGGTACAGTCGTGTGTTTACCAGCCTACTATCAGTCATCAAAATGGGTCCCGTTTTCGTTTGGTTATTCAAGAAAAAATTGAAAATTTTGGAAAAAGCAGGCTTGAAGGCTGGATAAAATTATAGGTTCACGAGTTTCTGCTGATTGAAGCGCTTCTTAGCTCCCGAATTTTTTTAGGTAGGACATCTAAAAACGTTAACCAGCTGCTTTGTTCAAGCTGTGTCATACCTCCAAAAAGAACTGATTATCTGCTTTTTTGCCTTGAAAATGCTTTCACTTGTATTTCGCTCTACAAACCTGCGTTGAGTAAGAAATTGCAGTTTCTCAGCTAGATCGGAATCGACGGAGTTTCATCTACCTTCTGGATGCTTTTTGACGTGAGCATTGAGGAAAAAATCCGACATTTTGCTGCTGAAGCAAATCCGACATCGACTCAATCGGGAGAGTAAGCCTCAGTTTCTGCCCTGAAACCCTTTATGCATTGTCATTATAACCTCAAGATATTGTAGAAGCATTCTTTATACAAGAATAAAGCTGTTCGCCATACTCGCAAGTGTCCACAAAGCTGCCTTGCTTCTTTTTTGAAACATGAGTTGTGTGTAATGATGGTGACAATGATGGTGTTACGCAGATCCAAAATAGCTTGCCAAGTGCTACCACACTTAGATTTTTGACAGTAATTATTTACTAGATAGTGGATACAGCTTGTATTGTATATTAAATATGATTCTTCTGAAAATTTCGGTCGGAGCCACAAATAGCTTTGGTGCTTGTCATAATCAGTTTCTGCAGGGTCAATTCAGTAATTATACTCGAATGCTAGGATCTCTAGAAGGTTGTAACCATGGAATACGGACTCCCATCCGTAGAAACAATGCCTTTACTTTACTTAATGCTTCTGAGAACATTGTAAAAGAAATTTGAAGGCAGAAATTTGAGCTCAGGATTGCAGTATTGTCAATGTCGGATTTGCTTTAGCAACAAAAAGTCGATTTTTTCCTCAATGCTCACGTCAAAAAGCATCCAGAAGGTAAGTAAAACCCTGTCCCCTCCGATCGAGCTGCGAATCTGCAGAATTCCTTACTCAACGCAGTTAGTGGAGCGAAATACATGTGAAAGCATTTTCAAGGCAAAAAAGCAGACAATCAGTTGTTTTTGGAAGTATGACACAGCTTGACTAAAGCAGCTGTTTAACATTTTTAGATGTGTACCTACCATACGTGTGCAAAGGGGGAACATGGCCTCCAGGGTGAAGGGGGTCATAGGGGTCCCGCCTCTCCAGGGTGAAGGGGGTATGAGGGCCGCTGGGGGGTGGGGGAGGGGGGGGGGGGAGGTAGGGGGTGGGATGTCGTGTTCTCTCATCAATTTCCCAATCAAACTTTACCATTTTCATTTCCCTGCCTTCACTGGTTGTATTCTAAGATGTGAACCGATGTTTGCTGTATTAGCACGCAATTATGATTCTGAACAGCACCTTGTTTTTTTTACATGTTCTCTTGCACCAAATGTACGTTTTTCTCTTTTTGTGTTTTGAGCTTTGCCCTCCCTCCTGCGGTCTGGCGCCGCACATGCCTCCTGATGAGGAGACTTCATGCGGCCAGCGACGTCCTCATCCATGGAGAGCTCCCCGCATAAAACTCCCTTTTTTGTTTTGAGAACTGAATAAAGGGATTTGTTACTTTATGTAAATGACACCGTATGTCGGTCCTATACTTTTTGTTGTTAATCGTATGAGTTACGAAAGTTATGAGCTTAATTTAGAATGATGAGCGAAGAGAAAGTCGAGATTATTTACGATTTGGCAGGCTGCAAGAAGCCTGGGAAAGGGTGAGTAAATTGTTTGAATAGTGCAAGATCTTTAGAAGTCTGTTTAGAGACGATGTCGCGCCAATCGTCGGCGTGGTGGTTGGATTGATCATCGCTCTCTGTGGCTTGGTGAAGGTCATTACCCGTTGCAACTTGCCTGCTAAAATTTACAAAACTGCAGAACGGGTAGCATCCCAGAAGAATCGAACCCACGACGTCCGCAGTCCCAGCCACTATCCACTGCACCGAAAACCCCTTATAACTCCTCCAGAATGACGTCATAGCAGATATGGAATGCGCTCTAGAGATCACCGTCTGGGGAAGGTATACGCGGTATACACCGCTTACCCAACCGTCACTGCGATCAAGTATCCTTCTCATGTCAGAAATTTTCTTACACAGATATTTCACATATGCGAGTTTGATGCGCCCACTCTGAATCGAAGTCTGAAAGCGCAGTGGCTTTAATATCTAATTCTTACCAAGTTCTTACAAACAGAAATAAAAAATCGCCGCATAAAGGATTTATTCCTTGATAACGGTGAATTCTGTGAAAACATATTCACGAAAGTATGTATAAATGTGGAACTCTTACCATGGGTGCAGTCATCTCGATTCCACGGATAACAGCCTGATCATCAATTCCCGCGTAGATTGTGCCACCTTCAGTATTCAAAAACGCAGAGATGGTCCTAAAAGTTTTCAATTTTAGGAGTATAAGATATATTTTCAAGACATTTTCGCTTTATCACCTCCTAGAGAATTACCCGTTTCCATTCAAGCACATTACGTCGCTAAAAAAACCTAAGCTATTAGACCGACGGATATAAGATAAATTAGGGACGGACGCACTTGACTTCTGCACATGTTCGTCGTCTTCGAACTAAACCTTTGATCTTTTTCCGTAGCCTCTAAGCACTGGATTTACAGTGACGAGAAACATAGGTGCGATAATGTGAGAATTTGCTCAGCCCCTTTCATCCCTGAGTGGAGACCCAAGGTGACCCTTCACCAAAAGCCAGGAAAAAATCAGTCATGAGGTAAAGTTCTCAATGATAAAACCGTCATAGCTGTTGATCTACTTGCCAGCTCTACGATAAAGAGCTGCGTCAAGGAATTGTGCTGTTATTTCCTCGAACTTTTAACCCTTTCAGAGGAATTGAAAGTTCTATGTCCAGGGAGGGCTTCATGGACATTTTTGAACGCTAAACGAGTGTTCAACTCGAATTTGCAGTCTGCTCGCAGCAGTACGAGAACTGTTCAATCCCTGTGCTCTTGTTTCATGCTAATATGTAGAACAAATCAAGCTGAATTAGTTTATATTCTCGTTTCAAAGTTTTGTCTCATGCTTTATGATTCAACGGAACCAGTAGGAGCAATACGGCGACTACCGACTATCGTGAGACTATGGGAAGTTTGCACAAGAAGTGAATGTAATATAGGTGAAACATGGTTCTAGGAAGTGTTCGATAGCAAGTATCAGGAAGTACAACGATGAAGCACGAAGAGAGAGTTGAAGCATTATTCGCTCGAGATCTCCGATTCAACGAAAGTAGACACATATAAATGACAACTCTTTGTAAATGTGCTCGTAAATAAGAAGGAAATGGTATGATAGCAGCAAGATTGGAGTCCTCTCGCTTATACGTTTGACTTTGACGTTCACGGCTTGGCTGAGGATGGAGAGAACGACGACAGGAAATTGCCTGATATTGCCACGAAAATTCTGAATTGTGCTGAAGACCACTGGATACTTGATAAGGCTGAATTCATGTGATTCGGAAGTTACATTGAAATGAAAGACTTACTGAGAAGAAGCGTCTCGTTTTCCAAGAAAATTTATAAACTGTATAATAGGTAACAAAGCTACATTTGGAAGAGAGTATCAATATTTAAAATGAAAAAGAAACCAAGTTTGATGAATCAAGGTGAGATTAGATTTAACTCGTGTTCTGTTTTCAGAAGTAGCATAGAAAATATTTGAACGAAAATTCTTATTGTGTAGAAAAATAGGTATATTTATGAATTTTCAGGAAAAAAAATTAAAACTTCTGTATATGAATAAAACTTCTGTATATAAACACCAACGTCATCCAGGAAGGTGTCTTTGGGACAATGTTTTCCTCCGCTTTCAGAAAATATATAGTTTGCAGAACCTGTCATAAAAGTGCTTGGTGAAGGGTGTAGTGATTTCCGAATTCCCAAGAGTTTTCAAGATAAAAAAATTGATTATTCTGTAGGTGAATAGCTGGTACACCGAGATGGTCATTATCGGAACCGCCTTGTTATCCGCTTTCAGAAAATGTAAAGCGTGTCAATGGTTCCTTCAAAAAAAAAAGCCTGGTGAAGGGTGTGGCCAGTGATTCCTAGACATTTACGAGTTTTTAGGAAAAGATTCGTAACTTCTGTAGATGAGCATCTTCTAGGCCGAGATGGCCACCATCAGAACCGTCTCGTCCTCAGCTTTCAGAAAATATATAGCCTGGCTGAGATCCTTTGAAAAAGTACCTAGTGAAGGGTGGGTGAGTTTTTTATAACGGGAGTTCTCAAGTGGAAGCTTTTTACTATTGCCAAATGGAGTCTATCTGAGAATTCCCATTATAAAAGTATCCCACACCCTTCACCCTTCTCACTTTTTCTAACTGATCCCAGCAAACTATGTATTTTCTGAAAGCGAATAACAAGACGGTTTTGATGGTGGCCATCCCGGTGTACCAGCTATTCATCTGCAGGAACCATCAATTTTTTATCCTGAGAACTCTTGGGGATTCGACTCACTACACCCTTCACCAGGTGCTTTTATGACAGGACCTTAGGCAAACTAGATATTTTCTGAAAGCGGTGGAAAACATGGTCCTAAAGACAATTTCCTTGCTGACGTTGGCGTTCATCTACAGAAGTTTTAATTTTTTCTCCTGAAAACATTTGAAAACCTATAAATCTTCTTCCACCTTTCCGATGCAACAAGAACTTTTGTTCAGATATCTTTTATGCTATTTGTGAAAACAGAACAAAGGTAGATCTGATCTCACTGATTCATCATATTTGGTTTGTTTTTAATTTTTTAAAATATTGGTACTTTTTCTAAAACTAATTTTGTTTAGCTATACAGTTTATAAATTTTCGTCAGAGACGCTTTTTCTCATTTTGTGTTTCATTTCGATATAACTTTCGAATCACAATGAATTCAGCCTTATCAATTATCCAGTGGTCTTCAGCACATTCAAAGTTTTCGTGGCAATCAGGCAATTTCCTATTGTCGTTCTCTCCATCCTCAGCCAAGCCAGAACGTCAAAGTCAAAAGATAAAAGCAAGAGGACTCCAAACTTGCTGCTATCGTACCATTTCCTTCTTATTCACGAACATATTTCGAAGAGTTGTCATTTATATGTGTCTACTTTCGTTAAATCGGAGATCTTTGAGCAAGCAATGCTTCAACTCTTTCTTCATGCTTCATCGTTGTACTTCCTGATACTTGCGATCGGCACACTTCTCAGAACCATATTTCACCTACATTTCATTCTCTTCTTGTGCAAACTTTCCACAGTCTCACGATAGTCGGTAGTCGTCGTATTGCTCCTACTATTTCCATTAAATCATAGAGCATGACAAAACTATAAGACGAGAATGTAAACTAATTCAGTTTGATTTGTTCTACATATTAGTATGAAACAAGTGCACAGGATTGAACAGTTCTCTACTGCTCCAAGCATTAAGACTGCAAAATGATTAGTTGAAAACTCGCTTAGCGTTCAAAAATGTTCATTAAACCGTCCTTGGACATAAACGGAGAAATGGTAGCACGACTCCTTGATGCAGTTCTTGATCGTAGCGCGGGCAAATACCCTATTTTCAGGTGTATAAGCCGCACCCTTTTCGCTCTAAAGGCGAACACGCCAAAAGACTGACTGTCATCATAGAGCCGTTAAGTGAGAGCAGCATGCGATAAGGCGACCGCTTGAGACATATGCGTGGCGGCACGCCTGAGTCTGCTCGGTTTAGAGCAAAAAGGGTGCGGCTTATACACCTGAAAATAGGGTAGGTTAGTAGCAGTAGCGGTCCCAGGAATTCGGACCGGAGGGGGGGGGGCAAAAAATTTTTTCTAGTGAAGATGGGTGGCGTTAGCCACGCACTCCGAAGAATTTTTAGGGGTGCTCCTCAGAATTTTTGCGGGTCCCCAACCCCTAAAATCTGGAAAAAGGGGGCGTGGCGTCAGCCAAGCCTCAAAAAAAATTTTACAAGGCTAATTTGAATTTTTGAAAAATTTAAAAAATTATTTTAATTGTTTACAAAAATAAACAAGTCATTTGCACATTTTTATAACCCACGTAAGTAAATTCCAAAAATTTCGCGACCCATTCTTGGGGGGGGGGGGCCGCCCACCCCCCTCGTCCGCCACTGGTTAGCAGCTATGGCGGTTTTATCGGGTGTATGTCGAAAGGCGCGCGTTCCCTAAGCCTTCATTGCCAGACTGGGTCTTCTCTGCAAAAGCAAGGTTTCCAGATTGCGAGATTTTTGTCAGTACATCAGAAAGTATAAAGAAGGATAACCAGTTGAAATCCGATAGTATTGAAATAGATTTGAACTTATTTCTTGCTTCTCCCAGTTAGTAAAACCGATCGATGCGCGCCTTACGACCGTCTCCCGGTTTTATCAGGTAGATGACGCATGTGCCAGGATACACATGTGGTTCAAACACTTCTTGTTTCTCTAACTTTTTGAGTAGCAGTATTAAACGAATGACCTCAAAGCAGGTACGCTGCAGATACCGTTTCTAATCATAGAAAACGAATTGTACACTGATTCATCGCACACCAAGAGCTGGACGTTCTTGACCGACTAAGACAAATTTTTCGGTTTGAAAGGAAAGCAGACAATAAGAGGAATGAAATGACGCTTGATCAAGTAGTGCCCGCAACGGCATCCTGTCTCTGCATGCAGCAAGTCGAAATTGGTTTTGCTAAAAAGTTGCGAGTAAGGATGCCGTTCGTCGCCGCGCGTTGTGAGGCCAAAATGATTCGCTCCCACGCGCAAACCATTTGCAGCACTCCCCCCCCCCCCCGCCGCCTACGACTTACATCCAGACCCACCCCCCCCCCCGGTGGGCGTTTCATATTTTCCAAATTATCTGAAGCACACTTCACCTGGAGGGACTGCAACCACTGTGACTCACCCTGAGAGAGTCGTTCTCACGCATATATGGCGTATCGCATATCTATTGCATTTATGGCGAGAACTAATCTCTATTCCAAAGCAAATGAGCAATGAATGTCCCACATGCCTTCAGTGAAAAAAACCCAAAAGAAAATTGTCACTTACTTGCTTATTGGCTGTTTGCGCACAGGGCGTCCGTTAATGAAGGCTTGATAGTAAGGAGGAATTTCGAATAGTGAATTCATTGTGTGCATTTTGAACTCTGTATGCACATCTTCATCCAAGGTACACTGCTCACCACGTCGAATTCGTCCATGTCCCATCATCTAGAAAGTTGCGCGTTGTGAACGGAGTTCCACTCCTGATTTGGGAAAAAAAACTGACTCAAAAAACATCACTCAACTTATGTAGCACCTATGGTGACAGGCACCTGATGGTCAATCAAGCTGTCGCCATGCCTATTATTGGCGAATCATCTCAAGCAAATACAGAATGCACTGCGAACTCTCGGCGTCCCTCCAATCAAACTCTTATTTCTTCTAGTGCCTGCAGTCTCCAACACGCACTGTCTTTCACACACGAAACGGCGTTCAGTATCTGCATGCGACGACCCGCATATAAGCTCCGGGAAACAGACTATGGTCTCTGCTTCACTGTTGCTGCTCGCGCGTTGTCGAAATGCGTGCCGCAGCGCTGAAGTTTGCGCATGTGCGCAAGCAAAAGGGATTCAAAAAGATGATCAGATACAGACAGGTCCTTTCAGCATGCTATAGACAGAGGGACAACACAGCATGGGAGGGCAAGCGTTAGGCGACAAAACGTGCAAAACGCAATCAACGTAAAGCCCATAAGCCAAAACTATGTGCCATTGTTTCTATGGCGTCGAGTAGTGTATCGGCCCCAACCCCACCCCCCCCCCCTGTTTTTGGCGGAGGAGACGTTTTGCACGGGGAGTTTTTCGGGGTCGAAAAAATCGGGCTTGTCGCCTAACGCCGTACACCCCACAACGACAAACCGGACGCGCACAACGCCAACTTCTAATTTCGACTGAGCCCATAAAACGTGCGCGAATTAGCAGGGCAGTCTCGCAGTCAAATTTGAATATGCTTTCGCGCCATTCGTCATGATCTTTTCCTCGCAGGAACTTTCACCCATGGAAGTCGGCGATCCCATCAGCTTTATGAAAGTTTTGTGGATCTGCGATCTCATCATTTTTGGTATTCCATGGGCAGGTATTCTGCTTCCGTTTTCAAGGCCTTATTAGTTATTTAAGGCCAACTGCACGATGGCTACAGTTTGATGTTTATCATAGTCGGGCACTCTAGCACTTCAAGGTCTGTATTCAGTCAGTTGAAGTTGTTTCTGGCTCTCAGGTTTCCTCCGGCTTCGGCATATGCAGGAGACAATATTGCGCTCTGTAACAAATACAACGTGCGCCGCTTCTCGGACTGGAGCCGCGGTCACCGCACGTCGCACTTGGGAGTTTCTTGTTGGTGTAATACGACTTCAACGGGTGGGAAAAGACTGAAAATGGAAAAGACCCTGCGAAAAGTATACAGGGTGCTTAACGGCTGGACTAACCAAATCTTGTGTTCATGAGTTCCTTTTTCCCGCAATGGGGGAATTGAACAAAGGTGGGACGCAGTCGCACTTGACCGTCGCTTAGAATTCGGTGTGCGAGTTTCCAGTTCTCCCCCATGCGGGCTTTATTCTTTTCGCTGGTTATTTTTAACTTTTCTTTCCGCCTTGTATGCTATTTTGATGAAGTTTTCATCCACCAACGTTGCTATTCCATTGTCGTTTTGTGAAGCATAGCACCAAGCTCGTTTGCTTGTTTTATCCCTCAATTTTAGCCTCTTCATGACATTTACTCGTGCACTGGTGCCTGTAACGAAAGCAGCTAGTAGAGCTCTGACGTCTCAGAGAGGCCTTGTCTTGGCATCACCCCCTGTGCAGGAAGTTGCTCACAAACTCAAGGTTCCCTTTACAGCTTTGAAACTCTTCATATCTAATATTGCTATAAACATGCTTTTTTCCTTCAATTCAGTGTTTTCTCGTCTCCATTAGCGCGCTGAATGTTCAGTGGGAAATTAGTAGTGTTGTATCAGGGCAAAATTTATCTAAGCCTTTGCTTTTTATGCCTTTCATGTAGTGGATTTGGAACTTACGCTTTGGCTGCCACCCTTCAACTTTACCCTTTGTGAGCTTTCATTGCAAATGGATAGCGGTATCGCTTTGCTCTTCAATCTTGTAACACAAGATCATCATGGAGATTTACCGGCAAATGATCTGTGTGATTGTTTGAATTTGAAGGTAGTTTTATTTTGTTTTTGCGAGCCGCGTGGGTTTTTGAGGTTGTCGGGGGAAAGTGATAGAATCTAATGTATCAGGAAGGATAAGGAGCCTAATAGTGCCCTGCTTCATATCCGACGTCATAGTCGTGCCCTCCATCGCTCAAGGTTTTCACTATCAACATCATTTTATCTAACATATTACATAACGCGCTACCCTCCAAGTCGTTGGAGCCTATTGAGCTGGCTTGTGAGCACCAGTGAACGTGCCTATCGAATTCTTCATAGGAATGTTAGAGAATGTTTGCATCGGCATTGATGGAGTCGTCGTCGATTGTCGATCGCATTGAAGCTACATCTCTTCAGTGCATAAGTGAAGGGTTAAAAATGTGTATGCATCGTTCCCTCCCTCACGATTGGGAAAGCTAAGATGGAAGTGTTTAGTGCATTGTGCGTTGCATATATTGCCCCATAATCTTTTTCTTGGTTCATCCGCGTTATGCTCTCGTGCCATGAGTTTGATCGTGGTCAAAGTACCTAATCGGTATAGTATGTCTAAGAAGGTAGTGCTGAAGATGAAGATCGGGCTTTGTTCTTCTTTTTCGGCTTTGCGATGTTTGAAACAGTTTTTGCGAATACAATGTGTCTGGTAGTGGTTAGACAGAGCGTGTTTCTCCCTCGGGGTTGTGCTGTGGATGCACGGAAGTTGGATGAAAATATGATAAGACGTCATTTCTGGCGTAGTGGTATCGTCTCATGAAATATATTGGGTAATGCCATGTATGTGACTAAACTTGTCGCTGCGCAATTAGAATATTCAGTGCTTGGCTGATGAACTTGAAGTATTTCTGAGTTTCTGCCAGAAGTGTGTTTTTCGAACAAGTGTGATGTGAAAACTCTCCATCCAATCAGGTCACTATAATTCCGGGCGATGGAGTTGGGCCAGAGTTGATCTATACTGTCCAGGACATTGTGAAAAATACAGGCATTCCTTTGGATTTCGAAGGTGAGCATAGACTAGTTTACCTTCATATTTGAATGCATGCAGTTCAGAGATTTTTTTATCGGAAGTACATTATTCACGTTCCGCTTCTATCGAAAATGCTGTTAAATCGATATCTCGTAATAACAATGTTGCTCTCAAAGGTCAGTTTGCAGGCGTTAAAGAGTCCGTCCTTTACATCAGAATTTTACTTTCAGGGGCAATCCAAGAATCCGCCGTACTTCACACTGAAGGAGAGCTAAGTGGCTTGAATATGCGTCTCCGTAGAGCTCTCGACCTTTTCGCGAATGTGGTGCATATCAAGGTAAAACGCTTTTCCCTCACGTCGTCATTTTTCGTTTTTACAAAACTTATTTGTCATTATACCAAGTCAACGTTTCAAATTTTGCATCATATACAATCAGTGCATTACTTTTGACGAGTATGGGAGAAAGCGGCTCAGATGCGCAAGCTTATACGGTATCTAGGATGGAACTATAGAGGAAGTTAGCTAATGAGTCAAAAGTGTGCACCTATCATATACGATCTGGAAAAGTTCCAAACTTTTAGTTTTAGGTTCGAATAAAATTCTTGGAGTGAGCGAAAAAGAAGTGCGCATCATGCATTTTCCGCCGTACTCGCCGGGATGTCTAGACGTTTCTTTGATGTGATATTATATTGAAATTTTGCGAAAAATGCCGTTGGCAAGTTGGAATGAGCATCTCGACAAGATGAGAGGTTTTTAAGATCCTATCATCCCTGTTTGTGGAGATGAATTTCATTCCCTCCACCACCACCTATTATCACTTAACCTTGCCTATGCTGGCATCTATTTTGATTTGACTTCTTCATCAAACCTTCCTAAGACATTGTTTTTCTTTTGCGAATCATTGTTCATCATTGTTTTAGTCTTTGGAAGGCATCAAGACTCGACATGGAAAGAAACTTGATTTTGTTATTGTTCGTGAGCAAACTGAAGGAGAGTATTCTAGTCTTGAACATGAACTAGTGCCAGGTATGAGATCATTCTATTTTGCTTCATCACCTATGTCTTGAGTCAATAAACAAAAAGTTTCTTGAATGGCTTCTCGTCTTTTTTAGTGTGTATTCTGCTGTTACAGGCGTTATCGAGTGCCTGAAGATCTCGACTAAGGAGAAATGTGAGCGTATAGCGAAGTTTGCTTTCGACTATGCTACGAAGCATCGAAGATCTAAAGTGAGTATCATACCGCTCCAATAATAGCTATAAAACGCACCCTTTAATTCTCTGATGTATTTGTTTACATTAGACTGTGGTCTCTAGTGTTCCTTTAGGTGACGGCTGTGCATAAAGCAAACATCATGAAACTGGGTGATGGACTTTTTCTCAAGAAATGTCATGACGTATGAGAATTCATTCTTCCACTTTTCTGAGAAATGTGTAACATGAACTTTAAGGTAGCTTCGCAGTATCCAAGGATCACGTTTGATTCCATGATCATTGACAATACATGCATGCAGCTGGTTTCGAAGCCAGAGCAGTTTGATGTCATGGTCATGCCAAATCTTTACGGAAATATAATCGATAATCTGGCTGCTGGGTGAGTCTATGGTTTGTGAAAGAAAATTTTTACAGTCATCTTTATTATAATAAAGCCTAATGAGGTAAGAAATAATTAATTTGTCTGCGAATCTCTTCTGTTTTTCTTATTTGTTTAGTGGTATAACTCCGAAGCTTTGTAATGCTTATTGTTAAGTCAGACTAAAAAAAGACTGATTGATTTGCGAAAATTCTCTGCTTAAACTTCCTCTTGTCTCACTGAGGTACGCGCCATACTTCATCCACTTGATCCATTTGATCCAGTTCATCCACTTCTTACTGGTCAAATCAGTGAACTGACAAATAGCGAAGCGGATGTCCACTTGATACACTTCGTCCACTTCGCTATTGGTCAGTTCGGTTGACCAATGCGGATCAAGTGGATCAACGGCATGTGCCTAAAGCCTACTCAAGGAATACCATGAATAAGCGTTTTTCTCGCTTAGTCTTCTATGCATCTGGCAAACTGTTCTAGCGCTCAATTTGTAACCTGTTGCTTGTTGAATGTAGTAGAAAACTCATATCTTCAGTCTTGTTGGTGGAGCAGGTGTTGTCACTGGACAATCAGTAGGAAGCGATTACGTGATATTTGAGCCAGGAAGTCGGCACTCGTTCCAAGAAGCGTTGGGGAGGTAAGCAGCACCAAACTCTCCTGTTTTTGTCTCATATAATCTTCCATCAAGGTCCATTGCAAACCCTACCGCCATGATTCTATGCGCCGCTAATATGTTAAATCATCTCCACCTGCATGAGCATGGTGATGCTTTGAGAGCAGCAGTTGAAAAGGTAGTCAGGGATGGAAAGGTCCGCACTCGAGATCTGGGAGGGTCAGTTCTTCTTGTTTTCTTTCAATTCATTTTCGTTGATAATCGTGGCGCGAGATTAATGCTATGTTAGGTCTGGAAGGCCGAATTCAGGCAAAAAGCGAAAAGGCGAGCTCAATGCATTAATCGCACGCTTTGCTAAACCATCATCTGCTAATGCAAGCCCACTAGTGACAGATGTGTGCAAGGAGAGACCTTTGTAAATGAAGTGATTTCCTTTAAAGCATCTATCTGTTAGTTTATTACCTGTTTCCACTGTTTTGATATGGCAGGAATTTTTACATGCTGTTATGTCAAGAGTCTGTAATCAGAAATTTTCCACAAACATGAAAATTGCCATCTGTGTGTAATAAGCTACCCATTTTTGCGGTTTTCATTATTCAGTTTATTGTAGTTTCTTACGCGCAAATTAGATATTGTGCAAATACTATTAAACCTTCTTAGAATATGTTTTGAAAGAGTAGCAGGATATGTGTAAGGAAATTTCTTGAACGAAGGCATGGGCAAGACAGTTTCCTGTATTCCGAGAGGACGTGTTTAGCGGGCTCTCGCATTGGAGAAAAGAATAGGATTTGGTCTTCTTGTCTTATCTATATTGCATCAGTTTAGTGTCGGCGAACTGATATCGTTCAAAATTTTTCGCTGGGTATCGTTTCGTGATTTGTTGTACGTAAATCAGTCAATTAAGGTATGCCTCCACCACGGACTTCGCCGACGCCGTAATCAACTGTTTCGAAATGTAATGTGCAGGATCTTGTCAGATTAGTGCTTGTATAGCTTGGTAAGAGTACTGTAGATAAAAAGCTGCTTAGTGAGGTGCCTTTTCAAAGTAGATAGATTCTGATCATGCAATAGTCTTCTATTTGTGCTGTTTTATGTACGGATGTCATGTGTTTTTAAAATGTCATAGGCGCGAACACTCTTAATTGTATACCTCTTCGTCTATAAATCTTTCGAACTCGTTTATTTTTGATCGTTGTTTTGGTGTGGTTTCTCCCCCTTATTACCTCTGTTCGAACACAGTGAACGCATGCGTTGCGTTCCGTACTGAGTATGAAATTCGTGAGATGTCTTGTTTTGTCGATGCAACTTTGATAAGGGTGCGGAAAGGCGGTGTGGGTGACCGCAAAACGGCAGGAGGATAGTTTACGTAATATACTCACACAGAGAACACCAATTTGTAAAGTGAAGGTGGGGAAAACATCTGTTCGTGTGAACAAACAAAACACTAGGGGGTTGTTACAATAGAAATCCCAATAATTTCTGTGCACCCCGCAATGAAGTGAGTGTATATCATATTGCAATTCATCTGACTGCAGTTGTACTGAATAGAAAGCGCAAAAGTGGCACACCATCAGCAACCTGATTTGGCAATTTGGATGATTCAATTCAACGAACTGCCTGTCAAATAGCTGAAACAATTGTGGCTTTAGGTGAGCAATGTGCCTATGAGAACTCCAAAGATTAATCCTCACTTTTCGACAGTATTATAGTGGAAAAGCGGTCTTGTGGACTGGGCATCCACCGTGGACATCGTCCAAGTTGTTAGCGCACAGATGTGTGAAGAGTCTGATGAATTTGTTGATGCGCTCGAATCTGATCAAGGATTGTGTACTGACAACAATGTTAGTGGGTTCCCTTTGTCAAGACTTTATTATTTCAACGACTCATAGCAAATCATTGTGAAGAATGAAGGGTTACATGACCTTTTTTTCGATGAGAACCGGACTGTAAAAGTAGATGCTAAAATTATGTTTGCTTCTCCGATTATTATGTGTCGGAAAACAGAAACAACATTGGCATTTACTAGAAGTGGACAGTGCTATTTCTGTAAGCCGACATCTGATATTTGTTACTCTTTGTTAAGGATACGGTATTGGAGTTGGACACAATTACCGAAGAGTGCGGTCCGACGTCAGAAGAAACGTTCTCTCCAGCATATGTTAATCTGTCTACGGTAAATTTCTGTTTCTTGGTCCACAGTGTTTACCAGTAGTTTGGGTGGATGCGATTGTGCATTTTCTACTTCCAATAATCATCAGGAATGCTCATCAGCACTTCGTCGGGATCGCCTTACTGCTCTACGGTCTCGGATGCGAGAAGAATTCGGTGGAAAGGAGATGACATCGCCATGTCCACTTCCATTAGATTGTGATTCTATCAGCATCGCGAGCGAAACAACCAGTCTACACTCGTGGCATCGTCGCGTCCTGGCTGAGACGCATACCGTGGTGTGTGACTCCTTCTTTTGTATTTCTCACCTTTTATGTGTTCCGGTTTAGGTGGTGCATCCCTCTGATAGCTTGAGTACTAGAGCTGGACCATCCCTGAAAGATTTGTCTTTTCTACAGAAATATCCACGACCGAGCACATATCGTGAGCCAAATGGATCTTCTTGGAATAATGTCGTATGTTCTCAAGAAATCCTAGCTATGTATAAACGGAGTTTCAAGCGGGGCAGCGAGCGTTGATAGTCAGGAGGGCACAGTTTGAGCGTGTAGAGAACGATATGTTGCCAATAGGCTCCACAAGCATGGACAGCTGGCATAAGCCTAATTTGTAAAAGTGCTGAGTGATTTGTTGCGTCCGTGCAGACCCCCCTCCCCTTTCCGCGACGTAGTATCTTCCACTGCCTATACTACAGGAGGAAAGTGATGGCAAGTGCACACTTATAAAACAGGGAGCCCCGGTAGTGTTTTTACTGATGTGGGTATTACGTAATCTTACGATTCGAGGGGAACACCACGCTTTTTGATTCAAGCACTTTTAAGGAGGTGTTTAAGCGGGCGAAGCTTGTCGCGTCTGCATAGGGAAATGTTTGCGAGCACGTAGAGATATTTTGCCAAATTCTTATATCTTTTAGGCTGCTATTCGGGCGACACCCATCGTAACGGTGAAACCCAACGCAACATCGCCAGTTGGTCCTCCTCCCAACCATCCTCCTCCACCTTTACCTCAACCTGATTCTGCACGATATGTGAGCATATGACATTCACTTATCTAAATATCACTCCCTCTTCAGAAGCGTAATGATCTACGTACTCCACCACCACTGCCGCCTAGAAATTCCCCGCTTCGGCCGCCGTTAGAAGCAAGCCTCAGCCTGCGACCAACCGGGACAAAAGAAGGAGACAGGTAGCATTTTTTTATCAGATTTAAAAAGTAATCTGACAATGTGGATAGATGAAGTCGTTATCAACGTGTATTGGAGGGGTAACTCAATGCAGAAACATGGGTGGGTTCTGGCCCTTCCTTTGGAACTTTCAGCAACTCGCGTTATGAAACCTCATGAGACGAATTTTCTGTGCTTTCGGTTAACAACTGGTTCTGTTAGGTTCTTTTTTTTTTGCTTTTCGCACGTGCTAGTCTCAACACCTTTATCGCTGCCGTAATTCTTTGCCATGATTTTGTAGGAAATATTGCAAAAAGGCTCTTCTAGTTTTTGCTCAGCGTGTTTTAGGACATCTTCTGATACGCCATTGTCGACTGTCCGTGACATCATATCGCGAAACGGTAGACAAGGTCATAAAAAAACAAATTCTTTGGACAGAGGTCTAACCTTAGCAAAATCAATGAAGGTGAGTAAAACTTTAGTCGAAGAGAGGAGCCTGTTTTTCTTCCAAACATCAAGCTCAATAAATAACTCGCATGGAGTCAAAAAATGTTGCAGGCTGGTCCGTTTCCTCCACCTGCGAACAAATCTAACTCACTGACGCGTCAAGAACCGGATGATGACGAAGAAGAGTGTGCTAGAAATACAGCAGCTGAAGGTGTAATTCTTCAGATCACAACCAAAGTCATCGGCGACCATTCGATTACGGTGCGTCAGTCTGTTTATGCTTTATAACTTTTTTGAGAGTTATAAATGTGATCTTAAAGGAAAGATAGGCAGCCTTTGAGCTTTCAAAAGTAATCCTCATTGCAAACCTCACACTCGCATTACATGTACGATGCGCAGTTGTGTTCACACGGGTGGAACATTCAGTGCCTCTTTGTCAAACTTTTTTAATGACCCGATGCGTTAAGCCCTCATGTGGGTTAGTAAGTGCCTTCTTCGTCATTTTTTTATATGAGGAGTTCTTAGTTTGTGCTGTCGGGCTTAATCTGCTGCGGTGAATTTCTGTTTACAATCCTTCCTAAGCGACTTTTTGCAAAACTTCTCGGAATCTTAGGTTTTCTTCGCTCAACCAGTTATAGGAGGAATGTTCTGAGCTTTCTTGATGAAAAGCTCTCGTATCTCTTTAGTGCGCAAATGGGGAGCTGGAACCGATTGCATCCGAATCTTCATCTTTGTCTTCTCCCAATTCGGAAGTAGCGGCAAAAATTCTTGAGAACAAGCAAGAGGCAACTATGCACTGTGAAGATAATGTCGCAAATGGTGAAGATCACGCCGGAGAGGTTGAACCAGAGAAATCTTGTGATATTTACCTTCCAAGCACGAGCGCTTTGCAGGTGAGCAATAGTTTTGAAAGGTCAGGATTATTTATGAAGGACATATCAATGTTAGTAAGCAATTAACAAGTACATTTTCATCACAGCAGTATTAGCATGTAATCATGCTTCGTTGTGACTTGACCACTCTACTTGTGACAAGTGAGTGTCAAAAGTCGCACTCAAGGTTCTTCAATCAAACACTTGATTCCGTTTGAGTATACAAACCGTGTTCTTTACCCAGTTGATCTGCGTGAACCAAAAATTGACAGTCAAATTCCTCTAAAGACTTTCTGCAGTAACTTAATTCTTTGATATCCTGCCCATTGGTGGCCCCCAGATAACGGCGGGTATAGCTGCATGATATGTGCAATTGCCTCTTCATTTTATTTTTCGCGTGAAATCTTTTGTCATGTTCCAGATTTCTGATGTAGTGAGCGACGAAATTCCGGTGTATAGAGAAATAGAAGTAGCGGCTACATGCTCGTCTATGGATCCGATTACGAGAGACGTAGAAAGGCGCATGAGTATGAAACGAGAGTGCTCACATTCTGAAGAATTAGCGAGGTAATTCCTTCATGTTGCTTCTATTTTTTTACCGTGTAAAGAGTTGAAGAAATTTTTGAATGCAACAATTTTGAACACACTATGAAATACGGTTGGTTTTGAACGAGCGCACTTGAACACTTTTCGACGATGTTGCGGGTATGAAATTTATAAAGAAGGGAAAGGGTGAAATAATAACAAGACAATTTTTGTGTTTGTATATCTCTATCCACATTCAAATTATTTCATTTACCAGCTACTTGACAGATCAACTCTTGGTTTCCCTACGTGCCTTTCCAAGTTTCAGTTACAGTGAAGACTCGCGATCTAAGCAATTTTCTGGTTCCCGATCGAGTATCGATGTTGCAAAAACTTGGGCTAGGAGCTACGGCAGTTTCGCAACTGGATTATTTCGTGGAGCAATCCAGAAGGTGAAAACAGCGACAGATAGGTTTGTGGATAATTTTGCAGTTTTTTTCATTTCCGTCACTTATTTACTGGAAAACTTACACTCCTTTGGTCTTTCTAGATACGTATAGGGCATCTAGTCCATATTATGATATTTCCATCATGATCGGAGGTGTAATTTTGACGCTAAAGTTTTCTTATCAAAATTGGTTTTCTTGATTGCCTGACCAAATCCACGAAAAAAGTGTCCTTATCAGGTAATTTATCGTGATACGTTTTCGTGATTTCAGCTCCCATTCTCTGAAAGGCGATGACAGTTCCGACAGTGAAGCTGAACAGTCGGAATCGGGACTACAGCCTTCCGGCCATGGAACTGCTATTGTGCGACCGAGGAAGGCAAAGAAAGGGCCATTTGATTTTGAGCATCTCAGAGTTGTTCAGGTTGGCTACTCTCCGCTGCTTTTTTTGTAATTTAGGGTTTGAGTTGGTTTGATTTGATTTGCATTTTGCTGCTTTCCAACTATGTCTTATAGCTCGTTGTAAAATAGAAAACTAGAAAGGTCTACATAATTGGACAATGATTGCGCACTCATGAAATTCTTTAAATGACAGTGTTCCACCTTCATAATCATTCCATTAAAAGAACAGCGCATCTATCTTATCTATTTCTAGGAGCTGAACAATGAACACACAGGAGCAGTCTGGTGTATTCGTTTCTCAGTTTGTGGACGTCTGCTTGCTACTGCTGGACAGGACAGTATAATACGTGTCTGGGCCGCTCGAAGTCACTTCAAGTATTTCACACAGATGAGAGAAAGGTAGATAAAGGATTACTTTGGTCGGAAAGAATTGCATGCTAACATACCAAACATTTGCTAAGCATCTTCCGTGTTTGTTATTTTTTGACCGGTGGTCAAGTGACCCGCCATTTTTCTTCAGGTCATTTACTTGTAATTATCAGTTGGTGTTCATTGTACTAAATTTAGGTACCAGCATAGAACGTCAGACTCTTCCGGCTCACCAAGTCACGAATTTCAGTCGGCTTTTCGTCATATGGAGTCATTCCGACCACCCAGCTCTTCAGGCGAAACTTCTCACTTAGACAGTTGGTGTTTTCATTTTTCATGCACTTCTTGGCTCATCTCGCTGTTCTAGGTGATCTTAGCGGAGAAGAGCAGGAATCTACTTCTCTCTTTTCTTCGAAACCCTTCGCCGTATTCAAGGTAAGCAAGCTTAAGCAAGCTATCCTTACATTTCGTCTTTGCCCATCAGTAGGGATACTTGAGCTGATCACTACAATCAATGACGGATCCAGAAAGAGTATGACTGCCTTCTTTTCATGTCTGAATTCGTATCATTGGAAGCTGTCAATAAAGTTCGGAGGGCGTAACGTTAGACCGATTTTCATCTAGAAGCATTTTGCTTTCGTTTCCTGAAAATTTTCTGCTTTCAATAGGAAACTACTATCGGGTTTCATTTGGAAACATTTTTTCTTCGTTTCCGTTTTGCTACTTTCCTGGGAACGGTTTTTTCGAAAAACGGAGGAAAACACAGACACCTGATAAGCGAGCGGAGTGGAATGTGAGTGTCAGTGGAATAAGAATTTTTTGGCCTGAATTTCCATAATATTGAAGAGATCGTAATGCGACTAACTTCACTTTGTATGCTTGGAGTGAGATAGCCTGCTAATTAGGTTTGTTTTCAGGGTCACACTGCTGACATATTGGATCTGTCATGGTCAAAAAATTACTTCATTCTCTCTTCCGGAATGGACAGAACTGTAAAGCTGTGGCATCTGTCACGTGCCGAGTGCCTTTGTTGTTTTCAACATGTTGACTTTGTTACGTGTGTAGCGTTTCTGCCGAAGGTTTGTCGTTGCTTACTCAAATCCATTTTTGTAACTGAGCTACTTTAAGGACGATCGCTACTTTCTTTCTGGCTCACTTGATGGAAAATTACGGATGTGGCATATTCCAGATAAAAAAGTTGCTGTCTGGAACGAAGTCCCTGTAAGTTTCCATCATTTTCTTGATCCATTCAGTATCAAGGCGGTATTGAAGTGGAATAGACGCGTTATAAATTGCCGCGCTAATCCAGGTTTGAGATAGGCGACAGAAATGGTCTGAGACGGTATTTATCAATCTCCCACGTTGTTCGGGCCATTACGAGTGCCCAGACAGGCGAGAGCGCCAAATCCGTGATTCATCAAACTTTAGCATGTGGTCCGATCTGGCAAGTGCCATGTCGGGCACGGCAGTGGCAGCAGAGCCCGATCTCGACAAGTCAGGCTCCGCTGCTCGACTGCCGTGCCCGACATGGCCAAACTTGCCAGATCGGACCATTTCTTCAATAGACTTTCCCTTTCCCGATCACCAGCTTGGCTTCATAAATCGCGGGCGCCAGTGCCCGCGCCTGTACGGGCTGTCACCTGTACAGGAAGCCCTTCTTATATAGGAGATTAATAAATACCGTCTCTGACCGGCTAAAGGGGGATTAGGGGGGGGGGGGGAGGGGAAGCGCAGAGTTGGCAGACTTAAACTGATTCGTAACTAATTTATCTGGTATCGTGCTAAAATTTTGCCTTTTGAGAAAATCAGTAGCCGCATCCTCTCCTACATCTCGCTAATAAATTTTTTGAAAAATGTTAGTTGATTTTGCGAGATTGTAGCGAAAATTGGGTACATTGTCTTTGAACTGTGAAGGTTTGATGTTTTTTCTGTCCCAATAGTACTTACATGTATTCAGGTAAAATTCATTACGGCGTTGACTTTCGTCAAGAATGGGAAGTTCGCTGTTGTTGGCACCTATAACGGCCGATGCTTTTTCTACTCCACTGACGTTAGTGCTCTACCTTTTTGGAGATCCATGTTACAATAATGTTATTTAGCAACTCAAATATCACACTGTAGTAGATGTACGGTCTACTCGAGGAAGAAATGCGAAAGGCCACAAGATAACGGGATTAGCTGTCCATGGAGATAAGTTGCTAGTGAGCTGCCATTTCCTTCATTCCTATCGCTGACTATATTTTCTTCCGATCATCTCAGGTCACGTCAAATGATTCACGAATCCGGATGTATGACGTCCGAGATAAAGCTCTCACTTGCAAATTCCGTGGTGCACAAAATGAACGATCACAGATTCGTGCAGCGTTTTCTCCCGATGGAAGGCATATTGTTTGTGGTTCAGAGGACAAGTTAGTTGTTTTTCTTTTCAATGCTTTCAGTTGTGGTAATTAGGTGATTAATTCATGACAACATTGAAGGTTTGTCTACCTATGGCGTACCGCTGATCTACCTTCTACATTATCAGTGCGAAAGGATCGTAATGCTATGTGGGAAAGGGTTCGTGCTCATACAGCGCCAGTGTCTGTAGCTGTTTTCGCTCCAAAGCCGCAGGTACGTTATAGATACGGTAGTGCATACCTGTTGACGTGTTCTCGTGCCTTGAGGATATGCAAAGATTTCCCTCATCACAACTAATGCGAATAAGTTTTCATAGGGAATAGATTCCAGCTGATACATTCACCCGCGCATTTACGTTATCCTTATAAACAGTTGCGTCAAACAAGACTAAATGAAAGGAATGATTTTTTGTGGTGTTTTACGAGTCCATACTTTTCTCATCTTTGTAATCAGTCACGATTGCTTTAGGTATACCTATCCATGATGGCAAAAATGGAGGATGGCAGTAAGGAGGCTGCTCATGTGGGCCACGTCATTGTCAGTGCCGATCTACAAGGGAGTATCAAAATCATGGTGAACAGACCGAAATGTGTCAAATCGGGTATTTCAAATTATATTGGAGGAGAATAAAGATATTTACATATTGCATTGCATGGATATCAACTACTCTAATTTCTTGGTTGAAGTGGACCATGTGTTGTAGTCAACTGTTGAACCTGGAAAATTATAGTTTAGAAATGTGCAGGCCCCGTAAAATCCAGTTGTCCACGCGTCGCTTACACCAAAGCGCGCCGTGGCTGGAAACGTTTGGTCGAAGCGCTACAGGCTTTCTGCGAATGACAATGAGCGCGCACCCTTTCCTCACATGTTTCTTTAAACTTTTGAAGGGAGCTTTCGTCAAGATATACCTTGCATTGGCGAGAACAAAATGAAAGTTAAAGAAATATATCTTGGAATATAGTGAACGCAGAAAGTCGTTCGCGACGACCGCTCGCTTACGCTGGTGTTCAAGGCACAGCGCGGGCAACTTGGTTGTACGGCGCTTATAACTTTGTGATCGGAACAGTCAAGATTCAACGTTAATCGCATTGCAATACACATCATGCTCATGTCTTCGAAGTTTGAATTCTTTCAAAAATATCGTGATAACGTCAGGAAGGTAAGAAGCCTTTACTAACGAGGAAAGTCATCTAACTTAACAGGGAACGATACTTGGTAACCCGGCCATTCATAATGGTTTGTATATCAAAAAATGCGCCATTTAATGCTGATTCAAATACTGTTTTCCATATCTGCGAAACGAGAACCTGGATGGAATTATGATTATTTTTTCAAAAATGAATTGCACTACTGCGGTGAAAATCATTAATAGAAGTTTTCCTTTGCTATTCAATTGCTGAATATGGTTCAGATAGGTATAAATACAGCGTAACACCTTTCAAGATTCTCCTCAATAGCTTCAAACGGTAGAATAGATCAAATTGGGTGAATTTAACTACCTACGAGTACGCAAATTTTCTACGAAGAAAAGTTCATAACTGCCTTCAAATAATCGTTTCGCAGATTTCGAGCACAGATTTAGAATCAGTGTTCCGGGATGCACCTTATTGTATACATCGCCTTTCACATGGCCGGGGTAGCCAAGTATCGTTCCCTTGTTAGGTCGGCTATGAAAAACGATATAGGGGCCTGCAGGATCGCGAGAGTCGGACGTGCGTACGGCCATTGCGCCGCGCACGTCAGATCGGCGTCCGACGACTCGGGTAGGTGCCAGACTTATCCTGTTCAACAGGTTCATTCGGTTCACCACCTTTTCTGTGGACAATGTAGTGATTTGACCCATGAGCCGAACGAACCGGTTGCAGCGGATGAATCTGGCACCTGCCCTAGTGACATCAGACGTGCGCGGCGCAATGGCCGTACGCACGTCCGACTCTCGCGATCCTGCAGGCCCCTATACCCGTATTAATCAGCTTGAAACGCTGAATCCAAATATCTTGTTATAATATCTATCCAAATATCAAGTTTGGGATCAAGAAAGTAGTATGCAATCCTCATGGTGAGTAAAAATATAGCTTACTGACGACGAGTGGTCGCGGTTGGTCAGTATAACTAATTCTTTAGATATAGCTTACTCTTTGTAATTGCTTCCGACAATCTGAGCACTATATTGTGCTTACATGACATGCAGTGTGTGGTTTGTTCGTTTGTTCACTGCTAGATTTACAGAAATAGTACGTGATAGTGGATGAATCACTCACGATCGTCGATCCTCTATCCCTTTTTAGCACGACGTGGGAACGGTTCAAGTTGGCCTAGTAAGTTCAAGATCCATATCCAGAAGAAAGGGTTAGCGTGAATGATTATTTGATAGGGCTGCAAGCCGACAAGGTCCGCAGTGGCGTTCTGTTTCTGCGTGCGATGAACCCACCGTACGTTTTTGGTACTTCGTCTAGCTCTGGATGTGAGCCTCATCTTCAACACTTGCGCAAATAAGAGCGAAAGGTTGATATCCGTATCCTTTCTAAAAATGGGCAATGGTTAACTCGTTTGTCAATCCACGAATCGCGCCCAAGTGTTCTCCTTCAGGCCTTGAACAGACACGCGATTTCATCGTAGCGATTCATCGCTACAAGGCAAGTGTTGCGAGTTCATTGCATGTCGATCTTCTTTTATTTCGGTTGTGGTAGTTTTCCGATGCGAATAATCGTGACTAACTATAGCAGCCGAAATCCGAGATGATTGGCATGCAGTGAACTCGTAAATGTTGTGTGTTTGAAGAATCGCGAGGCGATAGAATAGCGGGAACTCTGCGCGAGAGCTAAGAAGATTACCGCTCAGCCACTGACAAGCTAGCTCTGGCAAGGCATCTCAAGGAAAGGCGATAGCCAAACCTTGATGGAGGCATCGTCTTAGCAATGGTCGTGATTGGCTAAAATTTATGGTAGACTGTGTGAAGTCCAAACAGTGCGGCAATCGTTGTGAAGCAGAATGTAAGCGTTACCGAATTTGAAACGGGGACGATGAGCAACGTTATCAAGGTCTGTCCCTAAGGATGCACACAGGATGCCAAATTTCACATGAGTGCAGGCGCTACCATACCAGGACCCTTGCGCCTAGCGCAAATGGCACTGCAAAATACCACTTTCTTACATCGTAACGCCTGCAAAACATTCAGCAAGATCTGATCAATTGTAAATTTTGGTATTTACCGGAAAACGCTGAAGCAGAATACCTGCCCACGGAATACCAAAAATGATGAGATCATAAATCCACAAGCCTTTCGTAAAGTTGATGGGATCGCCGACTTACACGGGTGAAAGTTCCTGCGAGGAAAACATCATGACCGCGCGAAAGCATATTCAAATTTGATTGCGAAAGTGCCCGCTAATTCGCGCTCGTTTTATGGGCCCAATCGAATTTAGAAGTTGGCATTATGCGCGTCCGGTTCATTGCGTTGTTCTACTGTCTATAACATGCTGGGAGGACCATATCTGGTCATCTTCTTTGGCCTATTTTATTGCGCACTTCCAGTGCTGCGGGCGCGCACTTCGACAAGAGCGAGCAGCAATAGTGAAGCAGAGAGCATAGTCTTTTCCCAGATTGCCTATAGGCAGGTCACCTCACGCAGAGACGATGCCGCTCGTCCGTGAAGGACAGTGCGCGTTCAGTAGAGACGGCAGGCAGCAAAAGAAATGAGTCGCTTAGTCGGAGGGACGTCGACAGAGTCCGCAATGCGACTCCTGTATCTGCTTGATATGATTTTGCCGGCGCTATTCCACATTAGTTGACCCAAAAAACGAAAATCGTGAATTTCGCTAAAGTTCGTCTAGGAGAGTTATTCGGTACGCTGAACAGAATATGATGTTTATTTCGCCCGGTAGCGCCATCCGGTGGAGTTGCGGTAGTATTACGGTAGAGGGTCAGAATCACGGAATTGCCCGAAACTTGGTTTAGAGGGGTTATTTGGCATGCTGAAAACGTATATGATGTTTATTTCGTGCAACAGCGCCATCCAATGCAGTTCTGTAAAGTTACTGTAGCGGGTCAAAATCACGAATTTGCTCGTCTAGAGGGGGGGGGGGTATTCACGCTAAATTTGAATGGATGCTTATTTCCAGGTCCAGTTTACGGCGTCCAGGCATGTATTAGACAGTACTGGAGATGTATTTTCATTGCAAGACTGTACAATGTTTAGAATGTGGAAAGTCACTTGCCCGCGTTTAGCTTTGAATCAACGCGCGGAGCTGTTGGAAACACTGGGTCCCGAGCGCTATACGCTGGCGCGGGCAGTTAGATTTTGAATAACTTGTAGAGGTTTGAGTCATTCATCTTCATTCATAGCGAATGATGGCTGTTTTCTGTACCATGGCCTTTCGTCGTATGGAAGAGGAATTGAGAGATTTTACGCTCGCCGATGTCTTCGAGAAGCTTAGGATGGACGAGGATGGCTGTTCCATCGGTCTCCTTACTAGTCCCAGATGCAGCTCCTGTCAGCGACCTATGACACTCAACATGAACGCAAGGATCTGGTACTGCTACAGGAGAGACTGCCGCTAAGGACCAAACGGCAACAACAAGCCATTTGCGACCATCTTGGGCTGATCGTTCTTGAGCCAATGCAGGATTCGAGTAGCCAAGGAGTTCGCATTGTCCTACTTCTGGGTGAGAGAACTTGGCATGGTTAAGGATAGGAGTATGAGCTCGGCATAGGATACGCTCCATTGCACAGAACAGTATTTCAGAAACGTGTGCTGTCAGTTTCCGAAGGAACCGTCCTAGGTGGATTCGGTCACGTTGTGGAAATCGACGAGATATGCGTGACGAAGAGAATATACAACCGAGGCAGCATTGTTCGCCGACATCAGTGGCTGTTTGGTGGGCACGAAAGAGGAAGTGGCCGGTCGTTCCTAGTTCTCGTTCGACGACGGGATGCCAGGACTTTGCTGCGGCTCATTACGAAGTACATCAGGTCTGGTACTACCATCATCAGCGACTGCTGGCAGACCTATAACGGGATAACCGCCTTACCGCAGTTTTACACCCACCTCACCGTAAACTATCAGGTGAATTTCGTGAATCCGCGGACCGGAGCCCATACACAGAATATCGAGAGCCACTGGCAGCGATTCAAACGGATGGCCAAACAAATATGTGCTATCAATAACAGGAGAGTTAGCGACTATTTGAAGGAGTTTCTCTGGAGGAGGATGTTTGGCACGCGAGGGGAATCTCTATACAACTTCTGGAGGCTGCTAGCGGATCTTTACCCCGTCCCCTGCTGACAGCCTTTTGTCCCAACGGCCCTCTTTAGGGCCACAAAATCTACACCAAATCTTATCTAAATACTCGATGTGCGGGCGATAGCAATAACGATGCCTTAACAATCATAAGCGAAGTTTCGGGCAATTCCGCGGTTTTGACTTCCTACCGTAATCCTACCGTAACTCTACCGGATGATGCTATCGCACGAAATGAACATCATATTCGTGTTCAGCATGCCAAACCCTCTAAACCAAGTTTCGGGCAATTCCGTGATTTTGACCCTCTACCGTAGTGCTACCGTAACTCCACCGGATGGCGCCACCGGGCGAAATAAACATCATATTCGGTTCAGCATACTGAATAACCCTCCTAGACGAAGTTTTAGCGCAATTCACAATCTTCATTTCTTGTGTCATCTAATGTGGAATAGTACCGATTTGCCTACGATAAGCATGGCGACACCTTGACTGTCTATGGGATCGGCCATACTATTCCAGTGATTACTGCTATTCCTGCGATTCCTGCAATTCATGTGATTCCCGCACAGTTTAGGCGCCGCTTAAATGAGCGCGTGTTGCGTGTTTGCGTGTTTTACGCAACACGCGCCCATTTAAGCGGCGGACTGGAATAGTATGGCCGATCCCTATAAGGTGCTTGTTATATAGATGCTACGAAACTTAAGCGCTGTTTTCTGAGCTGATTTTCTTCCCATCCAGGAGTAGTATTTGTTCAAACCCTTCTAGGCGATGGAGCACAGACGAATTCGACTTGGTGAGCAGTGTATGTTGGATGAAGACATGCAGACAGAGTTCAAAATGCACACAAAGAATTCACTATTCGAAATTCCTCCTCGTTGTCAAGCCTTCCATGAAGGGTGCCTTGTGCGCAAAATGCAGCCTACAAGCAAGTAAGTGACAACTGCCTTTTTGGCTTTCTTATTGAAGATGTGGGACAGCGTTGCTCATTTGCTTTGGAATAGGGATCACTTCTCGCCACAGTAAACTCAGTGCATAGAGTTTAGGAAAAAAACTCAGAAGTTTTATTTGAAGCCGGTGAACATGTGCAGAAGTTGAGTGCATCTATCTCTATCTTATCTCAAATCCGTCGTCCTGAGGTTCCCGTAAAAGGCAACGGTTACGGGTCTATTGTATGCCGATTATTTTGCGTTTCGGTTGTGGTATTTCTGACACGACCAATCATGACTAACTATCGCAACCGAGATGCAAGGTGATCGACATGCGGTAGACTCGTAACAGTTGTCTTGTTGGGAAAATCGCGAGGCACGAGATCGCGTGAACTATGCCCGAGGCCCATCAGCTCGTGTTTTTTTTCAGCGACGTAATGTGCTTGGTTGGAAGGGTTATCATCTAGGAGTGATGAAGCGGCAATCTTATCTTAAAAATACTTAAAGTCCGAAATCTACCAATTTCTAGGACCATTTCTGCGTTTCTAAATACTGAAGGTGGCACAGTCTACGTGGGAATTGATGATCAGGCTGTTATCCGTGGAATAAAGCTGACTGCACCCATGGTAAGAATGTTCCACAAGTATACATATTTTCGTAAAGCTTCACTATATACTGTTGTCAAGGACTGAATACTTAAGGTGGTAATTTTTAGCTTCTCATATTAAGAATTTGGTATACGATATATACTAGTGCCTTTACGCTGTCACTTTGATTCGGTGTGAGTACACCAAACGCGCATATGTGAAATCTCTGAGCTCAAAAACTATTTTTAATACGTTCATAGGAGATCGGAAAGCTTTATGAATCAATTAGGAGACGGGAAACTCTTCAACTGATCTTTATGACTACCCAATGCCGGGTTGGTCAGTCTTCTGAACTTTCGCAGCAGTGCTTCTAGGTCTCGTAGTCTACAGGGGCTTTCAATCTGAGTGTCACAGCCGACGTGGTTCACTCTCTCGCGAGCCGCCTCGCTTGGGGTTTTTCACGTGGTGCAATACCGCGCGCTAAGGCTTTCGCGTTATCGGATGCGCTATTGTACCACGTGAGAGAGTTTGCGAGGGAGTGAACCACGTCGACCGTAACACTCAAATTGAAAGCTCCTGTAGCTGTCTTAGTGAGGAGACGGCCTGGTGTGCCGTACGTTTTAGAAATGTAGGGGTTATTTTTCAATCTTGTGTGACCGTCAAGTTTCATCGTTGACACTATGTTTTCTCAGAAGGACCACTTCATTCTCTCTTTGAATCATTCGTTGTCACAGTTTACTCCACCAGTCCCTCATGAACTTGTTCAAGGTATATCGCTATGTATTTGCTATCGGTATAGCATTTTACTTCTCCTACAGTGCAATTTTTGGAAATAGACGACTCCGGCAGCAATGAAAACGCAGAAGTTGCCCCATCGCCTGCAGAGATGCCAACCGCCTATGATGCTTCGAACGGTAATGAGGACAATAGTGAAGCAGAATTCCAAAGACTGGTGAATAAGGTAAACCGAATTGATATGATATATCAGCTGATCATTGTATGGTATGAATTGCTACTATTTGTCACTAATTAGTAGTTAAGTGGCAAGGTATGATGTAAAGCCGATTCATCGTACGCAGAGACGGGGCACCATTGCAGACACGGTCGGCGTCTTTCAGTTCAAACGCACTTTTTTTCTCTCACCGTTTGCTGTCTCTCACAAACACGAACTATATTAATCGGACGCAGGGGGTGTGCAGTCTCTGCGCGTGCTGAATGGTCAGTATATAGCAAGGTGTACAACATTGATCAGGAGGGACCACGTGCTCACCTGCTAGGATGGTCCTGTCTTTGCGACTTCGTTGATCTCGAGGCCAAGCTGTACTTGATTGTCATCAAGGTAAATTGTCTAAATCTGCATTCAGTTTCCTCGGCGTATTCCACATTAGTTGATCCAGAATTTGAAAATCACAGGTTTCGATAAAAGTTCGTCTAGGCGGTTACTTTGCACGCTGTTTACGAATATCACATTTATTCCGCACGTTAGTGCTATCCTAGGGCTACGGTAAAATTACGGCTGGTCAAGGTCGCGGGTTTGCCCCAAACTTCGTCAAAGGAGGTCAGTTGGGACGCTGAATATGTATGCCATATCTTACGGTAGCGCATTTTCTTAGGTTACGGTGGGCATACGTTAGACGGAAAAAATTAAGTTGCCTCAAAATTTCGTTTAAGGTTTCTTGAGCAGGCTATTTACAAATATCACGCTGTTTCTGCGTTTTAAACTTTTTGCGATAGGTGATAGGTGTGCGGTACTGACTAAACTGATAGGTATGCCTAAGATTATGCAGGGAGATTATCTAACGTGCTGATCGCGTATATCGCTCCCATCTCGCATGGTAGAGTCTTTTCGTAGGTTATTGGGATCTAAACTGAGCTGAAGAGCGGAAAAGTTGCTCTTTCAAACACTGTAACTTACCGTAACTTCATCAATAAAGCAGTGTTGCAGCGAAAAAGCATGATATTCGTAATCGGTCTGCTCAAGAACCCCTTTCGGCAGAGTTTTGAGCACCACAATTTTCAGCCACCTACCGTATGCCCACCGTGACCTGAGAAATTAGCGCCGTAAGAAATGAATATAATATTCATGTTCAGCCTGCCAAACCTATCTAGACGAAGTTTGGGGCAAATCCGTGATCTTGACCCCCTGCCGTAATCCTACCGTGGCCCCATCAGATGGCACTACCGTACGATATAATATCTGTAATCACCGTGCAAAATAACCTCTCTACACGGAAATTTAGCGAAACTTGCGATTTTAATTTTTTGGGTCAACTAATGTGGAATATTACCGTTTCCTCTTCTTTTCTTGGACTTACTATTCCTATATTTTGACCAATGTAGATTTTGAAAGTAGGTCTATCAAACATGTTTGCACTGCTTTCAAATCTACTCCACCTATTTTTGGTTCCATAGCTGTTCTTCAGGAATATCCTCGTAGTGCGAAGCAATTTTGCAAGTACACTTCAGGTTCACAAATCTACCAATGGAACTATTTATCAGAATGAGGAAGGGCTAGCTTATCGCCGAAGTAATGGTGCAAATCAGATGATGACCATAAACGATCTCATGAGTAAGTCGTTATGAATGCAGATTGTTTCATTGATAAAATATTCTAGAGAAACTGGTGGATGGTTGGATTGGCTGAGAAAGTTGAGCAGATTCATAGGCATTCCTTGAACTCAATCGTATCTATTGTGTCACATTGCCGCTTCTTCTGTAAATAAACAGATTGGACTTCGTTTCAATTATGATCAACTTGATCCGAAGTCTGTTAACTTTCATGACGCCTTCTTTGAATAGCGTATGTTTTTTTCGGTCTCATCTCAGTTGATGTCATAGCTGCTTTATGTACATTGATCAAATTTTTGAGTACCTTTATTTTCTTCTATTTAATTATGAGTCGAAGATTTCGGAAATCTCTAAAGCATTGACCTTTATTCTTTGTGCGTTTGGTATCCGTCTTCTTGTTCATGAGCCTTGTTAATTTTAAAGCTGTAGTAAAAGTATTTGTGGAAAGTGTAGTTGTAAATTACCATATACATTACCAAATACCAGTGGATTCTTCATTTTTAGGGATATGATTTCCGACATTTTTAACCACATGCTGAACGAAAAGCTACAATGCCTAAACGTGGGTTGCCACTTACTCTCTCCCTCCGCCCCTCACTTACCTCGAAGCGGAAGCTGGATATTTGTAATTACGCCAGACTATGGAAACTTGTTGATCCTCATAAACACCGACGTATTTGAGTTTGGATCTATTAAGCTCCAGGTTTGCCAAGTTCCGTAAGCATGGTAGAAACAGCGTGCTCAACTATGTTGCAACTGTTTGTCAGTTGAATCCAGGTTTGTTTTTCCAGGTTATTTTAGCTTTCATCACTCCATATCATATTTTACCTACCGTAACACTGTAGAAAAGGCCTACCATACGGAATTGACAGTATCGTAGAATCCCTGCGGAAATTTGCACTGGTATCCGAGATTTTGACTACATACCATAGGCTTACCATAGGCTGGAGGCATAGGCATACCGTGCCTACCATAGGACGGAGGAGGCATGCCTTTCGTCACAGCTTTTCAAGTAATATACTTTACAGAAAATCCTGCAGCAGAATGGTGTCGTATAATTTACGGAATTTCTTTTTCATAAAAACTTGGGCAAGCCTAGCTCTCTATAGCGCAATTTAAGATATACCATAAAAGCAAAAGGTGCAAGTTTAGTAATTACTTTAAACTAAAGCTGGGTTGGAAATGACATGATTTTTACGTGTAATAGCACATGCATTTGGTCCAATCAGCATCGTCCTAACATACCCACTCAGTGATTGTCTTATTTCAACATTCTAAACAAATTTTAGGATGGGCCTGCTAAGGCTATGTCTCAAAGATCCTCAGCATGGCTATACGCTAAGATAGAGATTTGCGATGTCAGCCTCGGCAGAGCAACTTTCTGGCGTGGCCGTTGATTCTCCCTCATTGCCTTCGGGCCGTCTCCCCCATATTGCCGAAGAAATCCCTTGTCTATCGTGCATCCAAAGCGAACACCTCCTCAAAAGCAAAGTCTCTGATGGATTCCTCAACGGATAGCAATTGCCAGACATAGCCACCTGAAGAGAGTGGCACCATGTCGCGACATCTGTGTTTATCCTCGATGCAGTCGTCTGTACCGTTAATCAGCGTCATTAGTCAATGCTTCTCGTGTCACGCACCCTATTCGTTGTTATCTGGTCAAATTTAGGGAGGCTGTTGTCGACATATTCTTGTGAAGCATAATACTGCTTTCTCACTCAGAAACCGTTTAGTCGTCTGTGCTTTACGGTATTTGCTTAACACGTTGACGACAGTGTCGCGCAATGGTGCGCGACAGGCAGTCTGTCCCTGTGGACGATGTCGCGCAATGGTGCGCGACACCCTAAATGCCAGTTCGAATGTGCACAATGGTTCCAATTTGTGTTCACAGAATCAGTTTAGGCTCGGAAGTTTTTCATGTTGGCCCCGCCCCTCTTTTGGCAAACTCCGCCCACTCCGTTGCCCTGTACAAAAAACTTTTTCCGTTTTCAAATCGCATAGAAAAGCTCGTAGATGACTGGGAAACCTCAAATAATCTTGATTTTGACCCCGCCCCCCATTATGCAGACCCCGCCCCTGAGTGGCAAGCTCCGCCCACTTTTCAAAAATGTCGGAATTTGCACGAATTCATTGATTTTGAGCAATTTCCAGCATCTTTAAAAGTGGAGGGGCTTGCCAAAAGTGGGCGGAGCTTTCCGCCCGCTTGCATTTTTGTACCTCACGCATAGATGCATACACACATATATGCAGCCGGCTGTGATAATGCCCGGAAACGGTTCGTCCACAGGGACCGACGTCAAAAAACAGCTCGTCGTCAACGTGTTAATAGAGTTATTTATTCTATAGAGATCAGCGTGGCCAAAGTCCCTAACTGTCATATAAGCTCCTGCAAGACGAAGGCGGTCGGTTCGATGTGCAACGCGGCTGCGACATGGCTGCGTCACAGCAGCGTCACAGCCGCGTCACAGCCACGTCGCACTTCGAACCAACCGCCTTCGTCTTGCAGGAGCTTATACTTTATTTCCTCCTATACATTATCTATTCGCTGTGTGAGCCTGGAGCCCCAAAGGCTAGAAAATTTACCGAAAACTCATCTTTTTATTGACTTGGGCTTCAAGTAACTTACCGCAGTTTTCAAAATTTCCCATTGAGAATGGAAAATTGACGAAAAATAGGCTAATGAAGCAATTTTTGGATAAAGAATTGCATGTTTCTCAAGCAGCTGAATAAGAGTCCTTCATAGAATCATCGAAATTCCGCAGCGCTCACCAGCATTTCTTTATTTCAGTTGCGCGAAACATAACTAGCCTCATTTGCTCTACAATGCAGTATCCGTTAGGAAAACTGCTAGCTATTATGAACACTCCATGCGATTTAATCTGAACCTGCTGGACTTTAGCAATGTTTGGAAATTGTTAGTTAGGTGATGCATAGATGGTGGCTATCATGTACCTAAAAATTAATTTTATCGTCGTTTACATACTGCTTTCCTGTTCTTAGTATCAATGAATAACACAGCAAAGCCTATGAGAGGATGGAGGAATCTCTCAAAATCAGAAACATTGATGGTGCTCATCGGAAACAAGCCTTGCTACACTGTGGTGCCACTCAAATGGTCTACAATTGGTTACATCTCAACAAGGAGGTAGTCTTTCCATTCTCTGAAAGTTTGGCTAATTCAGATAAAGGCAAACATTGTTTATATGGATTACATCGAAAAGGATGGGTGAGCCCATTGGAATTGCATTCTAGGTTGCACCACAGCTTTCTCATGTTTGATTTGGTTCTTCAAACCACAGCTTTTTAATGCCTGTTTGAGAAGTTTCATTCTAGCATTGCTTGACCTTTTCTATCACGAACAGCTTCAGCTATTATTCTGGCTTGAACTCTGCATAATTATATTCCTGTTCTTGTAGTCTTCTAGGACTAAGTCTCTAGTAACTCCTGGGAATGGGAATAGCAAAGATTCGACTCCGCTGACCAAATTGACCGTGCAGCGTTTTCTCCCGATGGAAGGCATATCGTTTGTGGTTCCGAGGACAAGTTAGTTGTTTTTCTTCTCAATGCTTTCAGTTGTGGTAATTAGGTGATTAATTCATGACAACATTGAAGGTTTGTCTACCTATGGCGTACCGCTGATCTACCTTCTACATTATCAGTGCGAAAGGATCGTAATGCTACGGGGGAAAGGGTTCGTGCTCATACAGCGCCAGTGTCTGTAGCTGTTTTCGCTCCAAAGCCGCAGGTACGTCATAGATACGGTAGTGCATACCAGTTGACGTGTTCTCGTGCCTTGAGGATATGCAAAGATTTCCCTCATCACAACTAATGCGAATAAGTTTTCATAGGGATTAGATTCCAGCTGATACATTCACCCGCGCATTTACGTTATCCTTATAAACAGTTGCGTCAGTCAAGGCTAAATGAAAGGAATGATTTTTTGTGGTGTTTTACGAGTCCATATCTTTTCTCATCTTTGTAATCAGTCACGATTGCTTTAGGTATACCTCTCCATGATGGCAAAAATGGAGGATGGCAGTAAGGAGGCTGCTCATGTGGGCCACGTCATTGTCAGCGCCGATCTACAAGGGAGTATCAAAATCATGGTGAACAGACCGAAATGTGTCAAATCGGGTATTTCAAATTATATTGGAGGAGAATAAAGATATTTACACATTACATTGCATGGATATCAACTGCTCCAATTTCTTGGTTGAAGCATAGTAGTTAAGTGTTGAACCTGGAGAAGTTATAGTTGTTTAGAAATGTAACTTTGTGATCAAGAACAGTCAAGATTTAACGTTAATTGCATTGCGATACACATCATGCTCACGTCTTCGAAGTTTGGATTCTTTGAAAAAATATCGTGAGGAACGTTAAGAAGGCAAGAAACCTCTACTAACGAGGAAAGTCATCTAACTAAGGTCGGCTATGAAAAACGATACCTGCATTTGGAATCAGCTTGAAACGCTGAATCCAAATATTTTGTCGCTAGCGGCGAAGCTTTATTCTCAACAGAGTTATGGGCTTTTCCCTGTGCAAAATTTGGATGCTAATCGACTTATAGAGATTATGGTATCAACATTCAAAGGCAGTGCACATGCATAATGCTCTCTCTCTATCAGCAACAAAAGACTTAGTTAGACTTAGTATGCAGTCGTCATGTACTCTTTGTAATTGCTTCCAACAATCTGAGCACTATATTATGTTTACATTGAATGCAGAGTGTAGTTTGTTCACTGCTAGTTTTACAGAAATAGTACGTGATAGTAGATGAATCACTCACGATCGTCGATCCTCTATTTCTCTTCAGCATGATATGGAAACGGTTCACAGTTGGTCTAGTAAGTTCCAATTTAAATCCAGAAGAAAGGGTTAGCACGGAAGTTGAGTGATTTGTTTGATACGGGTGCAAGTCAACGAGATCCTCCGTGGCGCCCTGTCTCTGCGTGCGATGAACAGAACTGTACGTTTTTTGGTACTCCGTCGAACTTGGATGTAACTCTCATATTCACCACTTGCGACTGAGCGGCAGGTTGTTACATTATACGTCTCCTCTCCAGAGTTGGACAATATTTAAAGGCAGTGTCCGGACAAGATGGGGACAGCACTACGAAAGTATGAGGTTATAACGTTCGACCTAATGCAAGAAAAACGATCGGAAAGTGGGGAAACTTACGCCTTGGGGCGGGGTCCTCCGACCTGTTTGAGTTTCCGCTATGCGGCAGAGTACGCATGCCGCCACATTTAAAATTGTAGGGTCCCGCAGTGACACTGCGTCTCTGCCATGGCGGGGACCGTCGAACTTCAAATTGTAAGGCTTTGAAAAATGCATGTTCTCGACGTTTGCGCGCCCTTTGATGTAGATTTTCGGATTCATTTGCGAATAACCCCCGGTAAGTGGATTTTCTAAAAACTGAGTTTTTGCCCTGACACTGCCTTTAACTCATTTGTCAATCTGGGAATCGCCCAAGTGTTCTCCTTTAGTAGTTATATGTGTTCCTTACACAACACACAAAGACAAAGATGTTCCCATCTCAAAGCTATGGGTGATTCGTCGCACGCAGACAGGATGCCATTGCCGGCGGTCGGCGTATCTGACCAGACGCTTCTGTCGTTCTTGTCATCTGAATTTCTTCCGAGCCCAAACTATCTTATTTTTCTACGCAACAACACCCAATTTTTCCGCGCGATAAATCGCCTTTACACTCTGCTTCTACCGAATTCATTCCTGTCCTGATATTTTCGTCTCCTCATCTGCACAATCTTATTATGCTAAATGTCGGCGTTCTCCGCTCTCATCTCCAGCGATGCGGACGCGCCTCTCCACACGAGATACTCCGCCTGAACTAGGCTGTATCCATCCGTATCCCTTAAACAAATCACAATCTCGCCGCAAAGACCAAGCGAGGCAGCCGCGCGAAACCGTAAGAGGTGATGGAAGCAGTAAGATTAGCGAATGATAACTTCAAACGCCTCAATATCTAAGTCTTTCGTTTGGCATCTTTTGAAAGGTTCAAGTTGTAAGCCATAAGATTGTGTGCTTTTCTTTGCGATAAACAGGAAACACAATACGTGGCGACCGCTCCTGCAAGTGCTAGAGAGCGCTGGGCGTGCTCTAGGGTAAATGCCTAACGCGACATCGTTGCGGAGCGGATATGCTTTGATGTGCTGTCGTGGGAAATTGATGGCTAATTTTCTAGTCAGCGCTAGTGGGAAAGCAATGTGTAATGTGCATATGTTGATATATTGCTGAATTCAATCCTGGTGCTCAATTACATGTGTATCTGTTCGTTTGACTTAGCAAGGATCACTAGTTGTTTTTGATTGTAATAAAGAGCCGTTGCACTTCACGATCTCTAGCTTATCTAGAAATCGCTTATGTAAGATTTTCTTTCATCCAGTTTTATGCACCTGTCGCAGTGCTGCGTGTTCTTCTTTCCGTTGCACAAAGTCTGTTCTTTTTGCATAATTGTAATGTTTTGAGAGTCGATAAAGTAGTTTGTGGCTCCAAAATGATCATAGTTACTTTAGATTTTCCGGTTAGTAGCCAAAAGGGAGGTATAGGTGTTGTAAAAAATAGTATGCTGTTTTGTTTGCAAAAAGATGTGTGAGTATAAGAAGGTTGCGCATCCTTGGGGTAGCGTTTGCATGATTTAGCCAGCGCGTTTCCGTCATTATAATAAACAGTTTGAGCTGTTGCGTGTGAGCATGTCTTCTTATGCTCAGAAGTCTCGTTTCTTTACCCTTGCTGTGCAGTTTCATGTTGAAGTGAAAAGTAGCAGTTAGCTAAATATTTTCAGTGACATTTCGTGAATAGTCCCTAGGACCGTAGAAAAGGAGCGCACACGGTAAGTGTCTTTCTAATATTCGCCTTGCTGCTTAATCAACCTTTTTTGTTGTAGCATGCGGCTGTACAGCTAATAGTCTTATTTCGTAAAGACGATGTCTTCAAATTCAACTATACGTGATCTTGTGGTACCCAAGAACTGCGTCTTGGAAGAAGAAACACCTGGTTGGTTTGCCGTATTGAACATTTTGTAGATTTAACCATTCGAATTTTTGCTTTTGGGATCTTTTTTATCGTCGAAAAAAGGAAAAGTTCTGCTTTTGAGTACTTGTTTATTGCGAGTGATTATAGGAAAACCTCCCATCACAGCAAATGGATCGAACACTCTCTCTACTACAAGTTGTAAATGTGTTGGAGAGTTAATAAACAGAATCATCGAGTTACGACGAGCTGGGTCTTCTCAAGGTACATGATATCAAACAGATTTGCTGAATGTATTACATTTATTTTTAAGATGGGACTTACTCATCGAACAACAATGAGATAGAGTGGGCTAAACTTTTCATGGAATTCATATTGGGTACTGCGTATTGTCAGGGCCGAACTTGCCAAGGTAAGCGAAGTTGAATCCGTTTCATGCTTGCACGCACTTAAAGTTTTTCAGCTCACTCTGACGATATGATCTGGTATGTATATATGTCTAAGATGAACTCCTCGTTCTATTTAGGACATTCGGTAGGTTTTTTTTCAACATGGAGGTCTTTCGTTCGTGCTTTGCTAGTCTGACGATCCAATCGATCGGTAGTAGATAGATACCCATTCAATTTTTTTCGATATTTGAATGATGATGACAAAGTGAGGTTTTTGCATTATGGCTATTACAGTTTAACATGTGATCCTTCCACTTTCTTGAGACTTGTCGAATCTCACGCCTTTGTACAGCGTCAGATTATATCCAGTTAATTGCGAAAGGAAAAAACCTCAGCTCAGTTCATCGAAGTTTCGAGTTATGCATTTATGAAAAAGCAGTCCACTGCTTTGACATTGAACATATTGATAATGCATCTAAGCATACTATATGCGAGCGCGTTTTTACAAAGCAAACTTCTAGTTCAATAGCGTCAAAACTCACAAGGAAAGTAGGAAAGAATGTTTAATTGTATGAACAAGTGTCACATTTTTGTCAATGCTGCCCGTTCCTAGAATGTCTTACATCACCTATTTCCAGAGTCCGAGTCTGGTACAGGTATTTCGGCGTTCTAGTAGGAATCAGCCATCTCCATGTGACCAAGCATACAGCTGGGAAGAAACGGTCTGTTTGAATCTTGTTCTGCAACAGGTAAGCGTTATGGCGTTTATAGGTCCACATGCGAGAGTATTTGTATGTGATGGTGTTTACAGGTAGATTTTTTTGTGACCTGTGCTGTTTGTACGAAGACAAGCCCGCAAAATCTCCAAATTATTCGCAAGAACTGTCAAAAAGTAAGTCCAGTTTCTTACATGTTTCCGAATCATATCTGTTTTGTTTACTACCATTCTAATCCGTCAGTTCGACACCTCTTAACGCGTTGCAATGGAAGTCCTAAACTGCATGATTTTAAGTATATCATCTTTGTAGTGTGTCAGTGTTCATTATGTCAAGTAAAAGCAGTTGGCGTCAAGTTTGACCTCAGTTCCCATGCTGCCCCCATGGAAAACATGATATGTGGTTGTCAAATAGCTCGCCAACCCTAACTTCCTGCCCAAACCTCTAGGGGTTGTTCTTATTTTGTGACTTCTCCAATTCTTTACAAAAGTTTCTTCCAAGGCGATTGCGAATGTAACGGGAATCTCTGATGTTTTAAAACTGTTCCACAAAGCTGATCTCAACTTCGTCCTCATAGTCTGTGCATATTTTTTTCTAAGGATGTAGCAGTCATGCGGCCATGGCGCAATTTGAGGCGCTTTGCGCTATGAATAATCGCGCCAATTAGAGATGATTTTCTTCATAGCTTGTCGCAGTTGCAATGCAGCTATAGTTTCTGTCGAACAAGGGGATTTTAAAATCTGTCTTTACTTCATGTGATCTACCTGTTGTCTCACCATTTTCATATTCATCATTGTTATGTTCTTTCTCTACAGTGTAATTATAGGTGTATCCCTCACCGAGCAGAAGACGCATGGATAGTAAAGGAAGTAGTGAAGAAATCACTTACCCGAAACTATACTTCGCTATAGATGGTTTTGAAGAGGTTTGTTGTAAACGTATCTCGAAAATGAACTACATGGGGCCTTTACTGGATGACTAGGGAATCGTAGTCAAGGCACTGCTAGGCGATAGCCCTATGATTCGCTCACGGTTCAGCAATTTATCTTCAAACTTGACCGTAGGGCCGCAGTGATATCTGTAAAAAAACTCTTTAAAGTTTGAAAATATCGATCAGAATGCCTTCAACTTTAGGTCTTTCAAGACATCGTAGTACGAGATGGTGAGTGTGTCTGTGTGGAACTAGTTGCACGCGATAGGCAAAAGACCCGCGAAGCTGTTGTGTTTCTTGGATCAATAAGATACGACATCTTAAAGCAAGTTTATGACGCAAAGGTATGTCTCCAAAATGCTTGAAGATACCGTTCATTTCGTTGAGCTGTATCTTGAAGGCTTCATCAACGTGGCACTGGGCGCAAAATCTAGTCAAACAAGGAGGGCGGCGCCAAGAGTTTGTGGGCATGAGAGGACCACATAAAAAGGTTTGCAGTTTCCATGCTGGTTTTCTTGAATTTATTTTCGTATTATTTTTCGGTGTCGTGACCATAACGAGTGAGCGAAAGGGTGTGATTTATTTAAAAGACGTGTTTTGTCTAGAAATATTTCGTCTTTTTTCGTCACTCGTCTTTTATTTTGGAGGATAGACTCCGGGGGGGGGGGAGGTGATGGTTTTGGTCTAGCTGTTGATCGAAATATTGGAATTCTGCTGTGCAATATCTGAGTTTTCTAATATTTCGACTTCTTCTTATAGCAACCCCATCACAGTTATCTTGATACACTGCTTTGCGTATCTTCATATCCGCTACTATCTGGCACATAGTGCCTGCTCGCTTAAAGTTCCTGTGTTGACCGTGATTTGTGTTTGCTAGATGTTTAGCATCCTGCTCAGTGCTTATTTTCCATTTCACAAATGTAGTCAAGTAGACACGTAACAGAAGCGATTGACTCGGTCCTGCGAGAAATCAGTACCACATATTGCAAATGTTCAGGGATATGCTGAAATGGCTGTCGCACGTGTACCGAATTGTGGCTACGAAACTCCTCTCACAGAGAACAACATGGATTTTCTTGAGTTAGCAAATGTGAGATTTTGCTTGTGGAAACTTCCTTTTTTCTTCTTTTCTTTTTCTCCTAAGCGACATTTGTACATGTTAAGGTTGGATACACTTTAAATCAACGCAGAATGTCCGAAAACAACCTTGGAGGTCCCCTGTATACAAGAAATAATGTGGTGATTCCGGACCGAAAAATGTCCACTGGTCGACGGTGGCAGAGTGAGGCCGATACAGTGAATCAGTATCCTGAAGTTGAGGGCAATAACATTGGGGATGGTAGGTTTTACCAGCTAGTTGATGTGTTTGTAAATTCGCTTTTTCAGACATTGATGAAGGCATACTGACCCGCTTGTGGTCGGTCCGGGGTTTCGGACAAGCGTGGCATTGGCTGCGAGAGAAGAAACGGGCAGAATGTACTCCATTGAATGCATATCTTACTTATGTGACCCTTTCATGGTCAAGTATCTTACAAGGTAACATAGCTATTGCCGGCGTACTGTTAGTTGTTGGAGGAAATTTGTACTTACTGGATTAAGCTGATCATTGCTTATTCTGCTTTAGCACACTTTTATCATGATCGGAAGCTCTTAAACGCGACTTCGATGTGTAAAATATGATAATCTCATCTTTCAGATTTGTTGAGTGACCGTCCGAAGCGACCAATTTTGACCTTCGAATTTGACTCTCCCTTTTGACTCACCTTTTCTATGGTACGTTACACAAACATTCATGTTGTTAGAACATTTCACGCTTCCTCAAAGCAGCAGACCTGCCAAGCCCCTAGAGAAGCAGTGAAATATTTTTTGTTTAAGTGTGAATTGACATGTGCACAAAAAGGAACATGAAGAAGTAGATAGTGACCATGCAGCTCTCGGACTGCATGGTCATTATGTACCTTGTTCCTTTTTCAGTAATCCTTGACCAAACAATATATGCGACTTTTTGTTTGATACTGTTGCGCCTGTTAAAGGCAGCGTCCAGGCAGATCGGGACCTATGTTGATTTTACGTGGAAAATAATTTTGGGGCCTTAACTAAGGCACTGCCCAAGCGGCAGCGCAGATGACTCACTAACGGCTGAGATATACGCTTCCAAAGTGGACCACAGAATCGTAGTCGCGTGGATTCATGGCACTTTCGCGCGAGATCCCGCGTTGCGCCATGAATCCATGCGAAGCACGATCCTGGGGTCCAGTTTCGAGGGTAATATCTCAGCCGTTAGAGCACTACCTAAGCTGCGGGTTGGGCAGTGGATTAGTTAGGGCTCCAAAATTACTATCCACGTGAGATCTCCACGTGTCCAAGCTTGCCTGGACGCTGCCTTTGAATTTGCGACCTTACGCTATATGAAATTTTGAGAACTTGGAGATTCAATTTTGCATTTCTGCAACGTTTGAACTGTGCATACAAGAACATCAATTGCATCAAACAATATGCCTATAGACATGCAATTTTGCAAAATTTGGTCCCTGGTGTGTATTTTTCTTTTGAGTCAAGAGCACATGGATTCCGAAGTTGGATAACTTACAAGGTTTGGCAAAGTGTGGTGTTTGCAGAAAAAATGGCGGCAGTGGAACTCGATTCGTTTGCTGCTGCAATGAGGGACATATATCAGCAGCACCAGTTTCGTTTTCGATGACCTCCCGTTACAGTATTCTTTTATCAGTCACGTTTCGACGACGGCAGCTCTGTGATCAACTTTTTAGTGTTGATATTTCTGGTGATTTCTACCACCTCTAGAGGATCTCATTACGTTTTTCCTATCGAGTCTGTTCAAAATCTCATCTGTAAAGTTGTATATAAATCGCAATTGATCCGTGCAACGATAAATTTGTGCCACTGTATCATCTTATATCGCCATCAAATCTAGCGTAGTAATTAGTTTTGCACATCAATGAATGTCGTCTATATCAATGTCAATGTAACTCAACAGCTGTTCATATATGATTCTCGCCGAGTGGATTTTATTTAATTTGTTCAAAGTTTGTTTATTATGTATTTATTTGATTATTTATTTATCTATATGTTTATTTATTTTATTTATTTAGTTTTTTTACTTATTTGCTTATTTACCCATTTGATTTATTTATTTTGTTCTGTATATATATATTTATTCATTTAAATTCTTCTTCTAGTGCCTTTCTAGGTTATACCGTAATGCTGTCTTAACTCATTTATTATTTAGCAACCAAACTAGGGCTTGCTGCTTAAACAGTGTGATCTCCGGGGATTTGTTTTTATCATCAAAATATTGAGAATTGTGCAATTGCACACATCAGCAAAGAAACCTACTCGACCATACTGGGCCGCAATACGCGGTAGCTAACAGGGACATAAATTACTGTAGTTACGGTCGTTTGCAGCTGAATTTTGAAATTGCACATTCACGCTATGATGTTATCTCTCACCACAAACGCTAAACAGATCCGGTTTAATGCAAACAAAATAGAGATGAACATACTTATATACAGTCCGCCTCAACCGCAATCAGGCCGAAATGGAATGGTGGGTCCGTGTTGCAAGGCTCTGGTCACGTCTACGGCTAGCTTGTCTGCTCTCTCTTTAGTAACTTCACTCTTTCCGACAGTGCACATGTGCAGCGCAAAACTCCTGCGAGCGCGCAAATTTACGCCACGGTTCGCTCTACAGGGTGTCCCAGAAGTAAGTACACACTTTTCAATCGTTAATATCTCTCTTCTCACTGCGTCTTCTTCCACCATTCGAGTACCATTCTGTAGATGAGGCCTCAACTTAGATTTACAGTGTCGAGTGAACTACCGATCGCTCTTCATTACTGTAGGATTACTGTAGGAACTTCGACAGGGATTTTCGGCCATTGGAAGCAATATTCTGCCTCGGAACAAAACCAAATAAGCCAAAAACTCTTATACTATGGTAACGGAAGCCGCTGATTTCGAATATGAAACTTCCACTTTACTGTGATGCTTCTTTCCAAAGTTATTCCAGGTAAACCGTAATAATCGAAATCTCAGTATTTGTCAGAAATGCGATTACACCGTCAAAAAAGCTGAAAACACTCGTAAAAAGTTGTGTAGTGGAATCAGCGTGCGCGAAAACCCTAGTACACGATGTTTCAGATTTTTTGAAAAAGATTTTGTAGGATGGTATATTTCACAATGGTTGCACATGCTGGAAGTTTTTACCGTAATCCTACAGTAACGAAAAGTGATCAGTGATTCGCTCGTTGCTGCAAATCTAAGTTGAAGCTTCCTCTACAGAATGGTACTTGACTGGCAAAAAAAGACCCATTGGGAAGAGAGATATTGACGATTGAAAAGTGTGTACTTACTTTTGGGACACCCTGTATTCCGGCTGGGACAAAGTGTGCGCATCACAGCGTCTATTTACTATCTCAAGAAGAGGAGAAAGTAGAAATATTCCGAAATAGTGAACCTACTAAGTTACCAATGAGTGGACTATGGTCGCATTTATCTAATAATAGTGTCTTGGACCAATTCAGCTACACCAGATTGGTTTTTACAGTTTTTGCTTATCTTCAACCCATGTTTTGAAGTACAGTCGAGTAGATTTAGCGGTAAATATAGTGTGCTTGCACAGAAGGTGAAATGCGGTGAAATTACAAAAAAGTTTCGACTGTGACGCCGGCCAATTGCGCGCGCAAGATACTCGCGCTACTGACGTGGCTACTTGCTTACGCGCAAATTTCACCGCATTTCACCTTCTGTGCAAGCACACTATATTTACCGCTAAATCTACTCGACTGTATGTGAAATTCATAACTGCTTTGGAAGAAAAACAATCTATTGAGAGAAACATAAGTTTCGCACCATTCCAGCATTTATTTGCAGCTCAGCTCGCAATAACTATTCACAGTGCAGAATATAATCAAAAGAAGATGATGAACATGTGAAGTACAGAATGAGAGGAGAACAAATAGAGGAGGTTTTGCTCATCAATGCTCTGTTTACAAAAATTCATGAAATACACTCGGGTTGTTTTCAGACATAAAGCAAGTACAATACAATGCAGTTTTTTTCTTTTTTTTTCAGCGATACATAATCTCATGATCGATATTCGTGTAGGAAACTTGAATATATCAAGCTTATGAGGCACATGAGAAGCGAGAGATGTATAGAGGCTAATAATACATGCCTGACAGAATCTGACAGAATATGCATAAATGAAATCGTGCTGTATAAAGTCTGAGTAATCAAGAGAAGAAATTATTTGTTTTGAGAATTCAAAAATAGGAGAAAATGCGTGTATATATAAGGCAACACTGAAGTTTCAATGATCGGATTCGCAATCGATTAGAATCGTGAAGATGTTTGTAATCCATGTACGAGTTGTTGTGTTAGACTGTCAATGTCGTCATGCCCCCTGAAAATTTTTCTATCATTATTCTGTAAGCAACGTTTTGTATCTGGGATCCGATCGAATTTTTTAATTCTCAATTCACGCTCTTTAGTTTCTCAAAAAAAAAAATTTTTTTATACGGTAGATCCGCAACTCCGCCCTGCGCGACTTTTGCAAGCACGTGCGGCGGCGGTCCTGTATAGAAGTTTAGTATTACGATCGTGCAAATCGGCCTGAACACCTTAGGGACGCTCATACTTAGCCGAAAAAAGGCCAAAAGTGCCCAAAAAGCCTAGAAACGCCAGAGGAGAACCTTTAGAACTTTTGGTAGAATTCTGACCTTATTTTGATGTGCGACGACAGAAAAATGAAGCAAAATGACTCGGTTGCGTCAACACACATGCTCAGCGCCAAGATTTGTGCGCAAAAGGGGGCGTTCGCTCTTCCTGGCGCCTTTGAGCTTTTCGGGCTCTTGGGCTTTTTGGGCACTTTTGGGCTTTTTCGGTGACTGGTCTCTTACTTCAAAACAAATGCGGTGCTCACCTGACAATGTTACTTTTTGTGCGGACTTCGTTGATCCTTTGGTGGTCAGCATGTGCATCACGTTGATTCAGCGGATCCATATGAGTATTTGCCTCACGTTGCGTATGTGTCATCGCTCAAATAATCGTTTTTTCACGACTTTGCGCATGATTTGTAATTTATCGACAAAACTCACTGTCATCTCGAAGCTGTCGTACGAATTTGTTCGGTGATGGCACATTGGATGCGGCTTTGTATGGCGCATATGGTGAGAATCGCTCTCTGAATGTGTTTCTAATGAGAGAAAGAAGAGGCAGCGTGAGGGAAAAGAATAATCGATCCTACTCAGTTGTTTCCTCTGTTTTTCTATATAGACTTTGTTTTGTGATTGTAGTTGTTGAAGGCGTGTTGTCAGCTGCTTCCATCACAGCAACCGGCGTAGTGGTGGCATACTGATGGATTAGCTCTCGTGGATTTGTGATTAGATAGCCGGTTTTAGTGTCAAAACGATAGGATGGATCGGAGAACACCGATGATGCCACTGAAAATATGCGACAGAAGTGCTAGTGAACTTTTTGTGGCGTGTGGTTGTAATAGAAGAAAAAGGCACATACCGCTCATTCTCCCATCGTTTCCCGGACCAAGATTTCCATTGGAACCATATGGATGGCCGGAACGCGAGTCTAGCGTCCCGTAGGGATCTCGCCCTCCTAGGCCACTTCCAGGTCGGCCACTGCCAGGACCGCCGCCGTAACCACCACCTGGGCCTCCATAACCACCGCTACCGGGGCCGCCGTATCCATCTGATGAATTAAAAGTAATCTCTGAAGTACACATCACAACAAATTATAAACTGGGTTGGTAAAAGTAGCCACTCCAGTAGCTTTTCCTCTCAATATCCTGCGCTTGCGGTACCGAATTTGTGGTGAAATATGAATGGTTTACTTATCCAAGTTTGAGATAATCCCATCCGTGGTAATACACGTTTCAAAAAAGTTTTAGAATTAGCTTTTCTTATTTCTTTTAGCTTCTATGGCCTTCCCTCATACTGATGAGATCCGAGGAAGGTCGTACCTCATCTAATTTCCGTATAGTGAAGGATCGAAACGGAAATTGGGTATACTTTGGTTTTTTCCTTTTATTGCCCGTAAACGATCGCTGCGCCCGAAATGCCGGCAATCTGCGCGCAAGTAGCCTGCATTGCAGGCGCAGCTATCTGTTCGCGCGCAAAGTTTACGGCAAGATTTCGGCACCGTAAGCGCAATATATCAAGCATAAAATCTATTAGGCTATACCTCCTGTTCCAGGCCCGCCCCCGTAACCTCCTCCTGCGCCAGGACCGCCTCCTGCTCCATATCCAGGTCCTCCGGGACCTCCCGGACCTCCTCCTGCACCGCCATGGCCTCCGGGGCCTCCGGGGCCACCAGGACCGCCTCCATAGGGACCGCTACCTACAACGGAATTATTTGATTGTCACGCTCTCAGGAGACTTGATCTCCCTGCTCACCTCCATGTGGTCCCTTCCCATATGGGTCACCGGACGGGCTCAAAGCGTCAGCGCGCGAATTGCGTCCACTGCCAGGTCCACCGCCAAATTCGCTACCGTAACCAGCTTCACTTCCCGCTTGAGCTGAATAAATCGAACTTGGATTTTAGAAGAAACTTCGGAATGTAGAAGCGCTTACATCCTAATGGATTCGTCCAACTTTTTTCATAGACATTCAAACCATCGTGTCCTTTGTGACCACGATCTACGTGTTGCACCTGTGTAATAGTGACGCGAGGTGACAAGTCAGCGGGTCGCCTGCAATTTTTATAAATTTTATAGAATTTTTATTTTCAGATACTAGTATGAGCGGACCTCTTCAATTCAATACCGTCAGCAGCTACAGTTCCATCTCCAATGGGAGAATAGTATAACCGACGGGGTTTTAAAGATCTGGGCAATTGGCTAGGGTCCGTTATGATCTGGAATTTTGGCTTAGTCTTCGCGAAGTACTTTAGTTAAAGTGCCTTTTCTTTCATACTATATATTTACTGAAATTTTCAAAATTACTCACTTCGCCACCTTCCCAGTGATGCGTGGATAATTCCACTCCACTTCCTGGTCGGTCACCATAAGCTTGAAAGCGACTCTCTTCCGATTTCTGACGTTCGTTTCGCATTGCTTCTTTATGTCTTGCGGTCTCGAAGCGATTGTAGTCGTCCTAGAAAATAATTCTGCATACAATTATGATTGGAATGTAAACGTTCAGCTATGTACTTTGTACTGCATTCTTGGCATTTCGCTGCATTATAACACGCTTTTTTCTGAGCGTGAAAATGTTTTTCAACGTGTGATTAGTGAATTATAGTCTTCCATAAGGGTATTAACACCCATTTGTAACTACAATAGAGAGAAACATCTTTATGACCAGGTTTTTTAGATTTTACACTAGACTGCTTGAAACTCATCATATAAATAAGGTTAATCTTATATATAAAGCTGAATGTCTGTTTGTATGTCTGTATGTCTGTCTGTATGTCTGTCTGTATGTCTGTATGTACGTATGTTCCGAATAGAAAATTCCATTTCTGAACCGATCGGGACCAAACTTGGCACACATACACTTTGGGCCCCGGCGAGTGTCATAGGCTACTTTTCGTCATCGATCGATATCGATTTTATCGATTTTTATCGATTTTTTTGCTGAGTTCACCTACGGGGCTGGGAGTTGGCACAGGGGGGTAATCGAGCATGGGGATTCCGAATACAATATTGGTTTTCAGGATTATCGATTACTTTTATCGATTTTATCGATTTTTTTGCAAAGTTTGAGCTACGGGGGTGGGAGTTGGCACAGGGGGGTAATCGAGCATGGGGATTCCGAATACAATATTGGTTTTCAGGATTATCGATTACTTTTATCGATTTTATCGATTTTTTTGCAAAGTTTGAGCTACGGGGCTGAGAGTTCGCACAGGGGGGTAGTCGAGCATGGGGATTCCGAATACAATATTGGTTTTCGGGATTATCGGTTACTTTTATCGATTTTATCGATTTTTTTGCAAAGTTTGAGCTAGGGGGCTGGGAGTTGGCGCAGGGGGGTAATCGAGCATGCTGATCATCCCCAAGGGGGGTGATCAGCATGCTCGATTACACCCCTGTGCCAAATTCCAGCCCCCTAGCTCAAATTTTCAAAAAATCGATAAAATCGATAAAAGTAATGGACGATCTTGAAAACTAATATTGTATTCGTAATCTGCATGCTCGATTACTCCCCTGTGCAAACTCCCAGCCCCGCAGGTCAAACTTTACAAAAAAAATCGATAAAATCGATGAAAGTAATGGACGATCCTGAAAACTAATATTGTGTTCGTAATCAGCATGCTCGATTACCCCCCTGTGCAAACTCCCAGCCCCGCAGGTCAAAATTTACAAAAAAATCGATAAAATCAATAAAAGTAATCGATAATTCTGAAAACTAATATTGTGTTCGGAATCCCCATGCTCACTTCCCCCCTGTGCCAACTCCTAGCCCTGTAGGTGAACTCTGCAAAAAAGATCGATAAAAATCGGTATAATCGACATCGATCGATAACGAAAAGTGGACTGTGACACCCGCCGGGGCCCGAAGTGTATGTGTGCAAAGTTTGGTCCGGATCGGTTCAGAAATGGAATTTTCTATTTGGAACATACGTACACGGGTCTAGCTGGCAGGCCCGGCGGAGCCGGGCAAGCCAGCTAGTAGAATGATAAAAATGAAATAAGGTTTAAAAAAAACCTCCTAGTAAGTCTTTTCTGATGGTTAAATCAATAAATTTGATAGATTTAAGCAAAAAACTACTAAATCACACATTTGTTGGTATCTTTCTCAAGAGTTGGGTAATTGAACTAATAAATTGTATTTATATGTCTAGGTGAAAATTTTTACCATGAATTTTTTTGGTCCATAAAAGAGTTATGCGCATTGTTTCACTGTTTGGATCGGCTTTGAAAAAATTTGCTAGAAATTATCGATATGAATCATAATAGGGAAAAAATGAATCAGTACGGCATGCCGCACTTATTCCACCTCATTCACTTCATCCACGTCGCTATTGGTGAAATCAAGGAACTGACCAATAGCGAGCACACATCTGCTTTGCTATTGGTCAGGACACTAACTTGAACAGTATCGAAGAGGATGCAGTGGATTAGGTGGATGGAGTGGCTATACGAATAGATAAAAAATGACATAAGAATCTTAGCATAGGATTATAACTTCAAATTTCTCATCAAAGGTCTCTGTGAACTGTGCAATCACATCAGTCATCCTAGATATGGGCAAAAAGTTGGTGTCTTACAGCCATATGCCTTCAATTTTCAAAAGAGGGGTCGATAGGGGCCCAACACATGCACAAGGGCAAGACAACATTCCACAGGTGCATTTAGTGTGAAAACGTATGTGTCTAAAATCTTCGACCTGTACTCACCATCATCGCAAAAGAATGTGAGCTTAGAAATAGCAAAGCGTGAGCGGTTGACGGATGTTTTCTGCCACGGAATCATCGAGCTTTACAACAGAAGCAGCAGTAGCGCATCTCCCGCGTGCCGCCTACGCCGCATCGCTGCCGAAGAGCTAGCGAGGTGATTTTATCCCAAAACAACAGCGGTTCTATTTACTTCGGACCAAATTTATTATAGAGCCGATTAAAGACTGAAAATTGTGCCCTTGCACACCATGTACAGCTGCAGTTGTAAAAGTTGGCACGTATCCATCTTAATTATTGGAAGGTTACTAATTCCAATTTATTTCCTCAGTCTATCTCAAACATGACTACATAACTGAATTCGAGCAGATGTCTCTTTATGCGATCCGAACTGAACATCTGAGTTGTGCGATTGCACACTTAACTTTTAAACGGGTATTCTTGAACTACAAGTGGACTGAAAATATGTAGAGATAATGTAGGATAATACGGAAAATATGATACTTATTAATGCGATTACGGAAGTAAATGCAAAAAAGCTTCTAGAATGTTTTAGACCTTCTTCATTAATACAATCGAGGAAGTTCATATTTATAGCTTTATACTAATTTTCCATATATCCATGATTTATTTTATATTATTTTACTATTTAAAAAAAATAGAAGTTTTTTTCAAAATGTTTGAGAACTTCTACGTCATCATTTTTAGTGAACATATTTATAATTTTGTATCAATACGCTTATAATTTATCTTATGTTATATTATTTTGATTAGGTTTGATTATTGACGTAATGCAAAAAAGACTTCTAATTGTTTGAGACTTTTCAAGTCATGTTCCTCTAAGAAGGAAATGTCTTGTAAAATGTCATAATAATAATTTGTATATAAAATTATAATTCATTTCTTATATGTCTTTACATATATCTTTCAGTAAGCATTTCTCCATATATTCAATTTGTTTTTATATGTATGTATTTGACGTTGCTCGAGTGATATAGGAAACTAGTAAAGAAGCCTTGCATAAAAATCAGATTAATAGGCGGTTTCATGCTAATCTTGAGATATTTCATAAAACTGCATACAAAAGTATATGACCACAAGAATTTGTAAGGAGTAAACCACAGAAAGACTTAGGCAAACTGAACAAGTGTGTCAGTAAAACCAGAAATATGACAGGTGTTTTACAACCAAAACTTTTTCTTCTTCCGATCAAAATGTACCTTATGTCTTCCTAGTGCAGAGTACGCCGGGCTAGCTGTACGATCCCTGAAGCCGGTCAGATTTCCAGCACTCCCATACTGAGACATTCCGACCGGTTGCTGCAATTTAAAAGGTTAATGTATCAGCTCTAAACACTCATCATTGGCAAATGGATTGGAGGAAACAAGATCTGATAGAAGGATTGGATTTGACTTGACTTGTGATTGTGTGGATTCTGCTAAACTTGCGCCAAGTCTCGAGACAATGGGAATTAAAGGTCTGGTTTCTAAACTTTGAAACTTTTCCTTTATTTGCAATAAAAAACCTGCAAAAAATACAATTTTGCAAAAATTGAGGAGTTGCTATTTTTGGCTTTAACTAGCATGAATGATATGTTATAAAATACCTGCAAAGAATACATTTGTACAAAAATCGGGGAATTGTCTTGTTATTATTGGCTTTAACTAGGTTGATTCGTTATGAAGTTCTGTGTATTTATAAGCCTATGTTATTTCTTTGAAAGAAAACAATGTGTAATTATGACTAATCTTGATACTTTTGAGATGTAACATGACATTCATGTAGCACAAATAGGAAGTTTGTTGAATTTTTTGAAATTATCATACTCGCTGTTTATCTTCAAATTAGCATGAAATATGTCAATTGTAATCGAAAACTGTTTGAGGAGATCTTTATGACTTTGTACTGCTTGGAGCAGTCTTTAACAATTAATGGGTGGGTGCAGTAAAAGCGAAAGTTATGGAAATGAAAAGTGGATGTAAATGTCAAAAACGCGACTGGTATCCTTAACAGCTCGATAAAAAAAGGCTATATTTTTGTTTAAGACTCCCATGTAATAGTTTTTGATCCTTGCATCGAAAGTGAAGCACTAGCCATATGTTAGCTTAAAAACTTTGTTGTCCTGCCAAAAAGCCCAAGTGATCTCTCGAGATCCAGAACAACAAAAAAACGTGTCAGAAATCTGAGCAGAAATCTATAGAAGCGATAAGAAGACCGACAGCCGGTGATCGACTAAGCGAAGGGGTGGATGGGGTGGGACGGTGTAATATCGCTCTGAGGCCACGATCACATATGTTTCCAGACAAACCTCATTTGTGTCGTCAAACTCCAACATGTGGATGGTGCACATTAATTTAGAAAAACTTGTTCCCGTACTTATCCTCTCACATTTTAGTGTAAATACACAAGTGGCATTTGCCAGCTGAGTTGCGGTTGATCTTCCCCGTGACGGGTCAGACGAGTGACTTGATGCTCAGCTTTCACTTTTTATTGAATACACATGTCCAAGTCTGACGTTCGCTCATTTGATTTGACTTGCCAGTTGTGAAAGATCTGCCACCCCCTACATGAATTGATCCAAAATGTTCTCGGTGGTTTGGATTGGTTTTAGCAAAAACCTCATTGTAGAAAAAATCTATGCTTTTCTACAAACGAGACCTTAGTTGGAGATGTAATTAGAAGAAGAGTACTTTAATTGAAAAAAAAGACAGAATAAGAAACGCATGCTTCTGATGTATCACTCCATATTAACACCATGAAGATTATTTTTGTAGATGGAAAAATGTACAAAAGCAAGGAGGGCGATACTTCAGATTTTTGACTTGTTCGAAGAAAATGGAAGCAATGAATATATGCTGAATGCAAACTGTCTCTTGAAAAATGAAAAATAAGGTGTTGATCTTAAAAAGGCATGGCTCATGATCCCTGGCGGCGATCGGTTTATAGGGCATTGTTCACACTTTGGGCGATTTCTGCACGCGACTTGGCAATTCGCCAGTCATCTACGAGCTGAACGCGCGCGAATTTCAAATGCGTAAACGCCCACGAAATCGTACAAACTATGAACAAATCTTGAGAAAACACAACATCCATGAAAACAAGGTTAAATTTGCTGCACTTCAGAGATTTACAAATATTCAGAAAAAACATGCTTCCGTTCGAAAACTCTAATCATTCAGTGAAGTGCAGTAAGAGAGATATTGATGGCTTATGCACAACTGAGTTTTCTGAAGAATGTAAAAAATTTGAGAAGTATAGAGAGTTGTGATGTAAGATGTTGCGTGTACGAGAAAGAGTATCTTGGTCATGTGATTAGGAACTAGCTTACAAGGGAAGGATACTTGGTGACCGTGGTCATTCGTAATGATACAAATATCTTTAGATGCGCCTTAAAGGCAGTGTCCCGGCAGATTCGGGTCCTGGGGGATATACATGTGGTGGGGTTCCTGGTCACCCCACCGACCTCCAGGCGCAGTCCGGCTGGGTGATGTTCCCCCTGGGCCGAGAAAATGGCCCTTGAACCGGCGCGCGCAGCCCCAACTGGCGCGCGCTTGGACGGCCTTCCTTTTGTGTTCGGTGCGGGACCCCACGAACGCTCTCCCCCATGATGCATGCTATACAAAGCAAGAATTACAGGCCGCAGGGTCTTCGTCTGAGGACCTCCCCCAACTTTCCATTAAAAATCTCGTCCGAGCTGCTTTTTTGGAATTAGGAAAACGCCCCAAATTCGGCCTTTTCAGCCCGTTCAAAGCTCAAATTCGGATTCTACGTGGCGAAAAGGCCTAAAACATGCAAAAAGGTGGAGGTGCAAAATCTGCCGGGACACTGCCTTTAAAACGCTGATTGCATATCTGGTGTCGATAACTGCCAAACGATTGTCTAAAATAAGCTATGATCTTTTTTCCGCATAATTTTTTCACACTAAAGCATGGCCATAGTCATTGATATCTGAGTTTTTTGAGGACATAATAAAGAAATTTGGACGACTTTTAAAGTTTTGGTTTACTGAAACAGTGCGAATTTTCTGGGAAATAGCGTTCATAATTTATTTCAGACAATCACTTAGGATATAGTGAAAGCCGATGAAATCTTAGGAATGGTCACGGTCATCAAGATCATTCCCTTGCCTAGTACAAATGTGAAAGAAGAACTAGAGAAGGAAAGGAAGGGAGACAGGATGATAGCCTACTTCGAAACATGGTTCACTCACCTGTCTTCTTGCCGGCGACAATGATCGAGCTCTTTCTTGATCCAACCAACTCACCCCTTTCCTATTGCGAAAAAGAAATGGTAAAAAAATGGTTCTTTTCCTCTTTCATATCTAATTGTCCAAATCCATATTTACCTCTTCATACTGTTATAGGGACTAGGCGGTCGAGAATGTTTTGCAATTCCTCCTCTGCCCATGGTAGAGTAACCATTATTCGAATTCATGGTACCGTAACCGCTGTATCCATTCGAGTAGTTCGTACCGTAGGGGTAACCACTATAGTCATTACTTGACGCTAAGGTTCCATAAGGGGAATTTCCATAATTTGAAACAGGTTTGTACTGAGGGGCAAATCCGTCGTCAAGATGGCTTCCATCGCCCAGTTCGGGAAAATCGGAGGTAAAATTGACGGCTGGAAAAAAAGAATACAAATATTATGTTGCATGGAACTTTTCCAAGATAGACTTTTTTGAGATGAGTTTTTTTTTTGACTCATGAACACTGTAGAATTGCTTACGCTGACCACTCGGAGTCACAAACGGATTCTTCAACGGAATGGCTCCTGTTGATGAGCTATATTGTTGATAAGAAGAAGCATTTCTCTGAATTAAATCTGTCACTGATTTGCCCTTGACAAATGTTGGTCCTGGCACATACCGGAGAAAATTGAGTGTGGTCGCTCCTGTTGTATCCAGTAAAAGAATTAGGATAGTCATGGCTAAGGCTTCTGCTTATTGAAGCATAATTTGACCTCGGTTTTCGTCTTGCAGGTGCTATAACTTCTCCGTTTATGATTTTACAACAACAATGAACAATTTTTTAATCACATGGAAGCTCTCGCTCTTCAAAACGAAGTATATGGGCGTTGTTATCTATAAAACGCTGTAGTTCACGATCCTGAGTTCTGGAGAGTTCGTGACGATTCACAAGATCACAGCCATTGATGACGATCTTGTTCTGGAATTCTAAAATGGCTTGAATGCTTCATCGAATTGCTAGATGATGGTCCCACCGCGGTGTCGACAGAGAGCGTCGAGGACATCCTGGTCCTTCTTCGGAGGCCACTACCGCGACAGCGCCTCCTTCAGGCGATGTCCTAGAATTATTTTGAACAAAACAATGTACAGAAAAGAAGCTAATAAGGTGATTTAGCCGATTGTTCGGAATGTTCCTCGCGATATACATTCGAAAAGAATTGTCTGATTTTGCGTAGTCAGACGCTTACATCCAGGGCGAATCGAAAATAGCAACTGCTTCTTACGACACGCGCCATACTTGATCCACTTGATCCACTTCGCTATTGGTCGGATCAGTGAAGTGACCAATAACGAGGCGGATATCCAGTTGATCCACTTGGTCCTCCTCGCTATTAGTCATTTCACTAATTTGACCAATAGCGAAGCGGATGAAGTGGATCAAACGGATCAAGTGGGCTGTGCCTAGAAGGTCATACACGGTGATATTCGACCTAGAAGTGAAGTATTATATTTCTTTATTTATTCGTTTTCAGAATCCTAGGTGTGTCAGCAAATAAAAACCGATTTTTTTGTAAGCTCTGGTAATTGCAAAAACTTTCATTTTGTATAAGAAGACAATGCCAATTTTTTTTAGATGAACAGGGCGCACTACAGTCGGTCAAAAATAATTTTTTTAGGCTATCTTGGATAAGGTTTAGGTTCAGATCAGTTGAAATTTTCTTAGCATCTCAGCGCTCTGAGTGGAACAGGGAAGGTAATATGATCACCTCAAGCGACACGAGACAATAAAAATCTATGTTACAGCGTGAGCGAATCGTGATTAGTAGATATCATCAATCTCATCGACAAGAACAACACAAACTGTTGTTTTTTCTGAGATTAAAAACAGTAGGGGGCATGAGAAAATCGCAATGGGGATGAGAGAAAAGCTGGGCCGACAAAAGCTCAAGAGGCCAGCCCCATATTTCGAGGCGTGGAGAAGAAGAACACATGCATGACTCCGCACACGCCAGTTGGCTGCGGCTCACGAAATAGCATAGTTTCTTATGAGACAAGGATATGTCGATGGAGAATGGCGACGTTGGTGTAAAGCGATTTTGTTTGTTAGTGCTCGAGATCTCTAGATTGACCATTTTGTGATCAGAGAGTCTATTTCATTGTTTTCGGGAGAAAAACGCGCATCAGTGCTGCATTACTCTCTTTCAGCTATGGAATAGGAAGCTAGCTAAGCCTGTACAGGTCAGGAAAGGGTCCCTCTCATAGGCTTTGGCCATACTACTCTTATGATTCTCAAAGTGTAATGCGGAAGGGGACAATTTTGATTTTTGGCCCAAGATGGGTGCTCCGCCTCCAACCCTTTCTGTAGAAGCAGGAGTTTGCAGTTCTAGCCGGTACAGGAGGTCCTGAAACGATGTAACAACATATTGTACCCTTTGATTTAACCGGAATGTCGGCTACGGCCGCTCGCACCCGCGACGCAGTCTGCATCTCTCTCGCGATAGTGCTCTCTGATCATTCCCTAGCCTTGATTAGGGGTAGAGGAACGAACACCTCAATTAAGCACCGCCTCGGGCTGCTGGTCGTCTCGTCCTACTGTAGTGCACGGTGTTGGGACCAATAGTCCGTGGACGAGGTGCCTAATTGAGGTGTTCGTTCCTCCACCCCTTGATTAGGCCTTAAAGCCTCGCCTTCCCGCCGCCAGTCTCGTTGAAACAAAGGGTAAAAGTGCAAAGAGCCTCAATCTGTCTTGCACTTATCGTCGACTTCCGCATGACCTTCTGATTCTTGTAATTTTCGTGATTCCCTTGTCCGTGGAGCGCGTAAACTACCGTCTGCGAACTAATAATGACGCTGATGGTCGCGTTAGAGTCAACATTTTGCGCATCCTCTTTTTAATCAAACCAGCGAAGGCTTAGATATATTGAAAGCAGAACGAAGTGTGAGTAGCGTGAGTACAATACTCATTACTGTATTACTCGTGAACGTGGAATTTTATGTGCTCTATGGATAACGGAAGCACAGATTGCAGGCATTACAGGAAGCAAGAGAATAGATGGTCGAACCCGTATTGATGTTTACTTTATAAGGAACGAGCACTATTGGTACATGGCGCTTTAAGTCTTTTGCTGTTTACTGTTGGGGAGTGGCCTAGTGGTAAGAGGCGCCGGCGTAACTGCTGGGACCAAAGTTCGATTTCTCCATTCATGGCAGGTTTTCCACCTTTGGGGTGGTTTAATTGATCTGGACCTGTAGACTATAAATCTTTCTTTGCTGAATTATTCAGATTCGTACTTTTCACTACACAAATACCTCCGTCATCTATATCCACAAATAATTCTCTACCTTTGAGTTTCCTTTTTGTGTACACTATGAAGCTATGCCTACAATATCCCATCAAATATTTCTTGCATGCAATCAGGTGATTCTCATGATTCATCTCTACAGCATCTTAATCTTTTGTTTTTATAAAACATCAAGCGCACAATGTGATCGTGTCATATGCAGTGCAATGCCATCAAGTTATTTGAAGAACAGTTTTTGTGAAAGTGGAATGTACTCAAGGATCTTAATGCTTTCTCACTCAGAACCAGAACCAGTAAACCCTGCTGCCAGCACAAAGCTGGCAGATTCCACAACTTAACTGGTAAATTTCGTCTTTCCCTTATGTACTGTACAGCTGATTTGAATGTTTTCACCAGCCACTATAACTTGAGCTTCTTAAGTGTGGGGACGGAGGGATTTTTTCTCTCAGCGGACCAATCGGAGTGCAAAAGTACGGTAGGAAGTACGGTCTAGGCTCTAGTTCAGCTGAATTTCTCGGCTTGAATCGCATGGCTTGCTCGGCTTTGGTTAAGGCACAATAATTGCGAGATTTCTGGAAGTTTCTCAAATGTTATGTTAAAACGTGCAAGTGACTTGTTTGAATTTTCAAATATTTACAATAGTTCGTTAGAAATTTTTCAACATTCAAACTAGCCTTGTTGAAAGAATTCTGGGGCCGTTTGTGTTTCTACATAATAAAACGCGATTATACTGTCTGCATGTAGAATGAGAAACTTGCAGGGTTCAAAATCATGAACATGCATAAATCTCTACGAAATGTTAAAATAAAAGGTGGCCGAAGCCCAGCCATCATCATATTGGATAAATTGAGCGGTATTCAGTTATTTGATCCTTTTTAAACGTTGCTTGTTAATTACGGAACAGAAATATTGTTGTTCATAGAAATTTTTGTCCTGTGACCTTTGTTAAAAAAAGAAAAACGACACTTTTATAAAATAGCATGCGGTCATGACAACAAAGACTGTCTTCCTTTAACCCTTTTCGAAGGAGAGCAGTGTGGAATTTACAGGATTGGAGTAGCTTTCTAAGAGTCGTACGGGCCCCCGTTGTGCGAATGAGTCGGGGGATGCAGAACAGTAGAAGAAGTGACCTTAAATTCCTACAATAGGAGGACAAGACCTATTTGACAGTGTCACTTGCCTTTCGTTCAAACATAAATGGCCGATAGAAGACTTGAAGATCAAAGGGATCACAGTGAAATCAGTAGAAAATGGCTAAGAAGGAGACATCAGCATAGCTGACGTAATTGTCACTTTTCGCCAACTTTCACCTTTTTCTTCTTATAAAACAAATTAAGACAGACGTTGGAGCCACCCTCTTTAATGGTTTTCGAAACGGTTTTGATAAAATGACCATTTTCAAATTAGTATTATTCCAATATGTCAGCAAGCTATCATACTGTACATAACATTTATTTTCGTCACTTCGTTTCTTTTTCTTGATATATCCAGAGTGACTGTACATTTCAATAAAAGAAGGCTTGCAAAGCGTAATCAGTGCAGAACATAATAAATCGCAATCTTAGCACTGTCAGTTGATTACATGATAAATGGAGAGTCGAGCTCGTATTCGATACCAGCAAATTACTTTGGGATCAATTAAACTGGAAAAAATTGGCAACGACTTTGATATACCGCAGATAAGGTGACAACAGAGCAAAAAGTTGTTGGCTGGGATTTACAATCGACAAAAATACCATGAAATTTTACAATTAGCAAGAATTAGTTTAGAAAAAACACCAGTTTCAGAAGATACAAGTACGATGAAGCAGCACAGCACTGGGAGATACACGAATCTAGATCTATTACGCTTTTCGGCTAATGAAGTCCGATAGTATTCCAAGCAGGATTTGACGATGTGCTTCGGTCGAAATGTAGCGCATGAATTCCTCGATAGAAGCAGATCCCACGAGACGTTGAATCTGAATGACCGAGTTTGAGTTTATTCTGCGTAATCAAATGGTGTGGTTACGTCCAGAGTTGCTGGTGCCAGCGCCGTTCCAGCGCCGTGCCAACATGTCGATCGGAGTGCGTGCAGAAAAATCCCAGCACAGCGTTGGCACGACGCTGGTACAGCATTCCGCCTAATTTATGGATACAATATCTTATATAGGCTCCAGACTAGCTGATCGTCCTGCTTCAGCAGGAAGCAATGCCATTTGGTGTCACGTTGGACGAAAAACATGTACATAATAATAATTTTTGTGCAACGTAACACCAAATGACATAACTGCGCCGCATGGTCCTGAAGCAGGAGGATCGGCTAGTCTAACGCCTATCTCAAACACAGCATGATAAAAAAACAAACTGAATAGGATTTCACGAAATAAAACGCAAATTTGTTGAAATCTGAAATGTAAAAAATAATGAACCTGTGTGGTCAGTAACGACTTCTCGCTGTCAGTCATTGATCGAATCGAACAGATCAAATTCTAAAGAGGCAAAAACTATTTCGAAATATCGCAGAATTACAGTAATCACATCGTAATCCGTACTGCATTGATAACCATAAACTGCTCCCACAATTCCACCAACTAATGCTCCAAGTGGTCCCATCAGGAGTCCACCGGTTGCCGTTCCAGCTGCTGCATATCCAGTTTGTTTAGCGACTCCTGTCACAGTTTCGCGGAGAGGCTAAAAATTACTTATATTTTGTAATTAAATTTACATGATAAAGTAGTATCAATTTATACCTTAGAGCTCTCCATAATGTTTAGAACTTGGTTCAGATAGACGAACGACATTGCTTCGAGAAGTGCTGGAAGAGGAAACAAGGGACTTACGAAATGCCGAGGTAGCCGATGTACTGACGTGGCATATCAGCTGCGGCGCTCGAATTTTCGAAAGTTCTCTCGAGTGCACGCTATTTCAGATATATGGAAGTGAGTTCTGACAGTTTTGCAACTATGAGGTCGTAAATGCCATTCAAAAAACTCATCTTATCTGTTTTACAAGAAATGGAAAAATCAAGAAGCACTTTGCTCAAAACAACACAAAGAAAGCCATTTTTGCACATCTGGGGCTTGCTCCTTAATGCGCCTTGGACAAAAAATATTGTTTAGCTTTGATTGATAGCGTTTATAGCAAAAAAAGTCAGTTTCTAAAGCAAAAATCCGTAAATTAACCACTGAGTTAATTACAAGCCAAAAATAGCAGTGATAGTTGTAATTCTGCTAACAAAAAACGATTACTTACCGAAACTTGAACCAGAAACTATCTGTTTGACAGGAAATGTGTCCAGTAACATTGTGAACTAGTACCGAAGGGTGCGGCAGCCAAATAAATCGATAAATGTATGTCGGTGGTCCAACACAATGGGTGGTCAATGCCGGCAATGAGTCAAATCCTCGCTTGGTATCATTTGCACTCATTTAGCATTTGTTTACATACAAGTAGAAAAAGGGCTTATTTTGAAGCTCTTTTTCTTTTTCAATAATGTAAGAATCAAGCTGACACATTGACTCGATCGAAAACCAGAGAACATTAGAGGTCTGATTATGCAAATTTTGTCTGTTCTAGTTTTATCTATACAGCTTCCTCACTCACCTTTTTATTGCGTGTGGTCTTATCAGCATTTTTGCATGTGGTCTTGTCATTCCAAGAATTCGAAAGCTCAAACGATAACAAATTTCATCATAGTGAAGTATTGCCTGCTTTGCCTGCTTGCATTCATATCATGTTGTGAATGCAAAAACTTCTAGAAAGAATCTTCTTTGTGTTTATTTGTCATGTAGCTTTGAGAAAATTTCTAGTTGAGAAAAATTTCTCGAATTCTGACCTGAATAGTTTCGTATGATGTGACAGCATGGTGAATGCTTTGCAAAGTTTTAACCACACACATGATTCATGCTTGTTTTTTCTGACTTGTGCATGTCGCTGTGGCTCGATGCGTGCAGTCGTCCCCATTTGAACATTCGCTTCGTGTAATTGCACAATTTCTGCTACAGCAGTAGTGGCGGTAGAACACTAATGAATTGAGAAATCAGTATAAAAGCGTGAAAAAGTCTTTACACAATCGCACAAAATAAATTAAAGATACTCTTATTTTGCATTCCGAAAAGTCGTATTTATTTACCGACCTTTCAATTGGGGAGTAGTATACTATATATGAATCACTACAAGCGTGGACAACTTATGAGCAACTTTTATACCATCATCGCTAGGCAATTTAAAGCTGCGTATAGAGTTGCCGATCCAGCGTTAACGGTAGCACGGCGCTGGAACGAGACTGGCACGAGCCGCACGCAGGCAACTGTGGACATAACTCAAGCATATCGCTCAATGTAAATTTTGCGTGATCCTTGTGCAGTTGTTCGAGAAAACATGCTATGGAGAGATTTCTGTTATAGACACCTGTAAACTTTTATTAATTGTTTGTACAGAAATCGTATTGAACTCGTATGGATACATTAATCTCAAAGTTGTACAGACAATGAGGCACAGAAGAAAACCACATGAAATATCAACAACTAACAATATTCGGATCCTGCATCTTCTTCATTATTTTCCTTCTCAATCCTGATGACCTTAGCTCGTATTTTCAAAGTGTAAGGGAATCTTTTCAGTGATGTTTCATTCCTTATACCAGGGTTCGGCAGGAGTTTATAAGCAAGCTGGATATCGTTTTCCGGACGAAAAGCAAAAGGGATGTTGTCTTTGTGACCGAAAAAACCGAACTTGGCCAACGTTTTTTTTAGTCGGCGTTTCATTTCTATGAGTGTTTTTAAGTTTAAGGTATAGGGTCAAAGAGGACTTATTAAAATTTTGCGAAAGTCAAGGGGAACTTCGTTTTTTTTTTGCATTTTCGGGAAGTCATCGAGTGCCGAGCCCTGCCTTATAAATACCGTATGAATCCAAACCCGCTGAAGTCTATTCTGATTCTGCCATCTGACTTTGAAAACTCTTCCCGGATTGAAGAACATCCCATCAAATCATGAAAAAAATATGCACCACAACATGCTGAAACAAATTCACAGTCTTGTTTCTAGTACAGGTTTCGTTTCGTCAAAGAATGCGCTAGTTCTTCGTCCACATGTGCCAACCGAGGCGAAGCAGATGATAGCTTCTTTTCTGAAAGTGATTCATTTTTTATTGCGGCCGGGATATACGGAAGGATAGTGCAATAAAATTTGACCTGAGTTGGTGCCAAACTATTCTATAGGCCTGTGAATTTAACGAATTAGTGTTCTCACATTGCCGACAACATTTGCGCTTAATGGCAAAGGGTTGATGGCTATGTACGCGCAAGTCACATGCGAGCTGTCGGCATCCACAAGGGTGGTAATTTTCCGCGCAAATGTTGTTAGCAAAAGAACATCATATTTAGCAATTTTCTAGCTTATTAGTGAACCATAAGCTTGGAAATGTGCACAGCCTGTAGTGGATTTAGAGAATTTGCCGATTGGAAAAGGAAGGGCCAAATAAGGGGGGGGGGCGGAGGGTTGTGGACTGGAAAAGAAGCCAAATAATCGAGCGCAATCGCTAGTTTCCAGACGGAAACAGAACTGCCCATATATCATAGGCTATATCCAGTGTTGCGTGCGCCAGCGCCGTTCCAAAGCCGTTTCCGCGCCGTGCCAGGGTGCTAGCTATACTTTGGAATATTCGAGAATTTTTCGAGTAATCGAATAACCGAATATATTCGAAAATCAAAAATATCGATTAATCGAATTTCGAATATTTTCAAAAAACAAAAAATGTCGAATATTCGAATATCGAATATTTTCGAAATGAAAAAAATCCGAATAGTCGAATATGTTTGAGAAAAAAATACGAATATTAAGGAATATTTGCATCGATTATGTCGAATATTCGAACAATTTTGATCCAATTAGCGCAGTGAAGGATTCCATGCAGTGGGCAACTTGGAGTTCAGGCAGGGCGCTAGCCAGCACGACGCTGGAACGAAGCTGGCACGGGTTCTAAACTAAGCTGCAAAAATTCTCGCCGCACACCAGGTTTAGCATCTCTTTTCGGCTTATTATGCGCATTATTTTTGTATAGATTATCTCCCATACCTGTATTGCTTGATAACAATTATTGTTATCAAAGCATCAAGTAGAGGATTTGCAGCCAATCCTAGTTGGGTGATGGTTATCACTATCCCGTTTGTCATCGGCTCTGTGAGCAGGACTATCGACGAGAGAGTGAGAAAAGCCGGTACCTAGAGACACTCACTTTATTAACTGTTGCAATGCAAGGCAGACTCCAGAATTGCCCGCGTGCCGCCGCTGTGCCAGCCCGGACCCACGTGGACGTGATCGTCTCGGCGCCATCACGGCGCTGGCACGGGCAACTCTAGACGCAGCACAATTCAGAAGATATGTGTCATACCTGGCATATAAGAGGGACTATTGCTTGAGCGAACGTAGCCAGTGCAATCTGTCGTGTTTCTAATAATCGCACGTGGTCACGGAGGTTTTGAACAACTAGAATATGTCGAGCTGAAAAGGTAAAGAATAAAATCAACGCTCAGTTTATTGAAAAAGTACTTACCCACTATTCGAAAAACCATGTAGTTTGAGAGAAAAGCTACAATATAAGATAGGACTGTGAGTCCTGCATAGGTGAAGTAAAGGAGTTTTGATTGGTCTTGATCAACAGCCAGAATCATCTAAACATGGAACGTAGCGGCAAACTTACACATTCAACTCATCAAAGATAGATCTGAGGTATAATTTTTTTTCAATCGAAGATAGACTTACAAATAAAAGTGCGATCGGCGCCAAGTCGAAAATCACACATACGAGAAGTGACCGCCGACCAGAAAATAACTGAAACATCATGTTCACTTTTTCTCAAAGTTATGTGATCATTACGTTGCGAAAATTCTTGAGTTTTTCAAATCTTATTAGAAATATGCCTTTATTCGAGAGGCTTTTGAGGAATTTCGTAGGTAGAGATGATATAAATGACTAGCCTACTGTAGTATTGAGACAGACTCTCAGACTCTCATGTCAAGAGCTCCCCATAAAACACAGACATAATGCGATATGTTTGGGATCTAGTTAGTGACAAAATGACGATAAAGTTAAAACAGCTAGTCTTGTAAAATAATCGTTGTGCTGGGAATATGCTTTCAAAGCCTAGATAATCAGATGGTGACTAACGAGCAAAAATGGATGACAAATGAAAAAAAAACAAAAATGACCTGCCCTTGATATCAATATCGAAGAGCATCAGTTGGAAAGAAAAGCCCAAATCTTTCGGATATAAACCACTGGCGTACCCAGGATTTCGGTTCGGGGGGGGGTGCGAAAATTTTTTTTTGGTGAAATGAAGGTGCGTGACGTTAGCCACGCACTCCAAAAAAATTTTTGGTATGCTTTTCAAGATTTTCGCGGCTCCCTAACCCCGAAGTTCCGGATTCCCCCCCCCCCCCTCCGAATCGGTCGCGAAATTGATCCGGAATTTCGGGTTCCCCACCCCCCCCCCCCCTCCTTCGGTAAGCCACTGATACATGCTAGATAGTTTAACATGGTGGGAGCATGTAGAATTGATGCAGTGAATCACAGCATACTTATACAGTGCTGGCCAAAATTATAGGTCCACTCTAAAAAATGCCATAACTCACTCTGTTGTGAACGAAATTTACCAAAATTTGGTAGAGACGTGTGTTTATCAGCCTACTATCAGTCTTCAAAACGGTTCTCGTTTTCGTTTGATTATTCAGGAAAAAATTAGAAATTTTGAAAAAAGCAGGCTTGAAGGCTGGCCAAAATTATAGGTCCACCTGGAGTTTTTACTGATTAAAGCACTTCTTAGCTCCCGAATTTTTTTAGGTAGGTACACATCCAAAAACGTTAAACAGCTGCATTGGTCAAGCTGTGACATACCTCCAAAAAGAGCTGATTTTATGTTTTTTTTTGCCTTGAAGACGCACTCACATGTATTTCGCTCCACAAACCTGCGTTGAGTAAGAAATTCTGCAGTTTCTCAGCTGGATCGGAAGGGACGGGGTTTCATCTATCTTCTGGATGCTTTTTGACGTGAGCGTTGAGGAAAAAATCCGAGTTTTTGCTGCTGAAGCAAACCTGACATTGACAGTACTGCAATACTGAGCTCAAATTTCTGCCTTCAAACTTCTTTTACAATGTTCTCAGAAGCATTGAGTAAAGTAAAGGCATTGCTCCTATGAAGGGGAGTCCGTATACCATAGTTACAACTTTCTAGAGATAGCATTCGAGTATAATTACTGAAATCACTCTGCAGAAACTGATTACGACAAGCACCAAAACTACTTGTGGCTCCGACCAAATTTTTCAGAAGAATCACGTGCTAACATACACTACAAGCTGTACCTACTATCTAGTAAATAATTGCTGTCAAAAATCTAAGTGAGGTAGCACTTGGAAAGCTATTTTGGATCGCGTAACACCATTATTACGTTGCACACACAACTCATGTTTCGAAAAAGAAGCAAGGCAGCTTTGTGGACACTTGTGAGTATGGCGAACAGCTTTATTCTTGTGTAAAAAATGCTTTTACAATATCTTAAGGTTATAATGACAATGCATAAAGGGTTTTAGGGCAGAAACTGAGGCTTACTCTGCCGATTAAGCCGATGTCAGATCTGCTTCAGCAGCAAAAAGTCGGATTTTTTCCTCAATGTTCACGTCAAAAAACATCCAGAAGGTAGATAAAACTCCGTCCTTTCCGATCCGGCTGAGAAACTGCAAAATTTCTTACTCAACGCAGATTTGTGGAGCCAAATATATATGAGTGCATCTTCAAGGCAAAAAAGCAGATAATCAGTTCTTTTTGGAGGTATGTCACAGCTTGACCAATGCAGCTGTTTAACGTTTTTGGATGTGTACCTACCTAAAAAAATTCGGGAGCTAAGAAGTGCTTTAATCTGTAAAAACTCCAGGTGGACCTATAATTTTGGCCAGCCTTCAAGCCTGCTTTTTTCAAAATTTCTAATTTTTTCTTGAATAATCAAACGAAAACGAGAACCGTCTTGAAGACTAATAGTAGGCTGGTAAACACACGTCTCTACCAAATTTTGGAAAATTTCATTCACAACAGAGTGAGTTATGGCATTTTTTAGAGTGGACCTATAATTTTGGCCAGCACTGTATGGGCCGTTTAGTAGATTATTGTATTTTCTAGAAGACGGAATTGTGAATTTCTTTGAAGAAAGATTGAAGGAAGTCCAGAGAAAAAAGCAAGCATTATTCAAAACGCACTGACAGTACATTCGCTCGGAATAAATCAAGTGGAGAAGACATAGAGCGAGATGGGACACATCACATACTATCGTTTCAGCAAACCCATCAGAATAAACACCAAAAGAATTATGTTAACGCTTAAATAGAAATTTAGAAACAACAAAGTGTGTAGTCAATAGTTCGCATAAAGAAAAGTAGAGGAAATACCACATCCGAAAATCAAGAGCTGGTGGAAGGCTCGCGATTTGGCTTCAACATTCTGCAGTTTACGGTAGGTGAGCAGAAGCAAAGAAAAGGATCGAGAAAAAAGGCAGAAAATAGGCAATCTATACAATATTCTGGAAAAAAAGCTTAGAATTGCTTGAGTTTTTGTATGTAGGCTTCAGTATAAAACAGCCCCCCGTGAACGGGTCGCGAAATTTTTAAAAGTTACTTAAACGGGTTATAAATTTGTGCAAATGACTTGTCTGCACTTGTTAATAATTAAAATAATTTTAAAAATTTTTTGAAAATTCATTTAAGCCTTAGAAAAATTTTTTTCGGAGGGGTGGCTGACGCCACGCCCCCTTTTTTTGAAATTTCGGGGTTTTGGGCCCGCGAAAATTTTAGGAAGCATGCCAAAAAAATTTTCGGGGTGCGTGGCTCACGCCACGCACCTTCATCGAAAAAAAATTTCTGTCGCGCCCCCTCCCCCTCCCGAGCCGAAATCCTGGGTACACCACTGGTATAAAAATAAAAGATTTCGTGCAAACGGAAAAGTTCGGAATTTGTGAGGGAAGAAGAAGCTTAGGACTGTTTATTAGGTGCCACCTCAAATGGCTTGGGGCCATCTATATATTCTGGAAATATTAGGACGGCTAATAAATAATTTCGATCGATTTTGCGGCTACTACAGATGCTGCAGACAATTTTTTGTCCAGTATTCGGTACGGTTGGAAAGAGCACTTCAGTGATAATGGAACATAAAATCTGTTCGAGTAAAATTTATTTTGCTATGAAAGAATCCCGTGAAGAAGTGAAGAACCCCAGTTTCCTCACTGTGCACAAATATGAGAATTTGTTTTTTTTTTGTCAAAGAACTTCGAAATGGCAGATCACAATTTTTGTAGTCGCTAAGTAGGGAAAACTTGTTCAAATCCAAATACCAAATTGCTATTCACTACATCCATTAGCATGAAAACGAAGCTTCTAAAGTCGCAATTGAGCTTTTGGAATTTTAGCCTTGTTGGAGCATGACTATCCCTTACTGATACTTTGAATTTCCGAATAGTTGATGCATGATAGAAGAAGGTTTGAACTACTTGAACACAAAATATCACCAACAAAGAGCAACCAGGAAAGTTTTTGTGAAGAGATTTTTATGCCGAAACGGAATTTTTTTTAACCAACCTAATACTTGGCCACGCCCGAACACATGAAGTTTCAGAAAATTTTCATGCTTGTTTCGAAATTTCTCAAGGGCATGTACTTCAAGAGCATGCACCTCAATATCAAATACTCAAAAGAAGAAAAAACAATTTTTTTAATGATTGGGCAACTTGCAAGTAGATAAATCGTGAGATGGTGCTCATGGTGTGCAGTGCACATATTATTTTTAAATGTCTCGATTATACCCCCTCTCACTGATGTGCTCCAAACAGTAACAGGTACAAGTGGGCTGTAATATTTTTCAAAATCCCCTCCCTCTCATCTCCTCCCCGACTCACGTAAACATCTGTGTACTTTCAAGCTATGTCAAGCGTTTCCACGGAGAGTAATTGCTGCATTCTTGACAACATAATGAACAACAAGCTTCTACACTTCTTCATCGTGAAGAATGTGTGCTTCCGGGGTGACACTCGGGAAATAATTTCTATTCAAAGCTCTCTACATACGTACCCAATTGTATAGATGCGGCTTGGTCAATGCAATGACTCGACTGAGAGAAATTGGCACGAGTGCACATACCATTACCCCGAACGAGCCATAGAATGCGAAAGTCGAGTGCGTCATCAACCTGAAGTATCCTATTAATTTCGCAATAATGAGTACTTTTACTTTACAAAACAATTATTGATTATGTCATACAGTACTCTAGCAATGCTGAGCACTAATATTACGTTGGCTAAATGAGTTCAATCACTTTTGCAGCTCCCAAAAATGCTGCAGACAAGTTTTTGTCTAGTGTTTAGTACCTTTGAGGAAAGTTCTCAAAAAGAAATGGAATGACAAAGCTGTTTGATTAGAATTTATTTTCCTATGAAAAAAAGGTGCAAAGAAGCGCGAAACCTCAATTTTCTCGTTGTGCGGAAATGTGAGGAAATTTTGCTTATTTTAATCGAATAATTTCAGATGGAGATCACAAATTTTATTGTGGTTTACTATAGAGAAAACCTGGATGTATCCAAATACAATATTGCCCATTTCTACATCCATCACAACATGAAAACGAAGCTCAGTATGTCAAAGAACTGAGCCTTTGGAAACTAGATCATACTGAGGCATAAGCCCTTAACTTTTATTAGAGAACCTCGGTAGTTGATTTATGATAGCAGAAGCTTTGAGCTACAACCAAAACATCATGAATAAAAAACAACAAGATGTGGAGATTTGCATGAAACGAGCTTATTTTCAGCCAGCCTAATATCAGGCTGGAATAAAAAGAATGTCATTTTTCATGGTGGCAAAAACCCAAAAATATATGAAGAGCAACACTCGATAGAGCGAAGCAAAATTAAAAGATAAGCTATAAATAATAGCATTAGAACGCAAAATTTAGAGCAACTGTTCACAACGCCAGAAATTTGATTTCCGCCTCATTTTCTAAATTTTTTACTTGCTTCTGCTTGCAACAAATGCGTGCAGCCATATAACCGTTGCTATATTTGTCTCATGCTCAGAAATGAAAGGAAGAATGAAAAACGAAAATGGAAAACTCCGCCCTAGTAGACCTAAGCCCCTCCTATATATAGTTCCTTTGAAGTATCAATTAGAAAAAATTCAAGAGAAGCAACATCCTTTTCTTTCGAGCCTAGTACATACTTCATCCCACTGCGACCTTTTTATCGGCATAATCACGTCGCGACAGGGTAAATTAAAGCATTTACAGAATGAGGTATAATTTGAATTGCCAGACTGTCAGCAACTTAGTGATCTACTCTCTATCAGCTAAGAATTACTCTAAGAAAACTTATAACATCCCGCCGATTTTGTCACAATAAATTTGTTACGTGGGTCGCAACCTTTCCCTACAATTATGCTGTTCCTCACAGATCTACGAGTTGTTACGTAGATCACAAAATTTTAAACATACGTACAGAAATTTTCTTTTACTTTTGCATGTTTTACTGACAGGTGTCAAATTAAAAGCAACACGTCTTGCGCCTTACCCAAATGAAAATTTGTTGTCAACATTGATGTAGCCCATAAAAGCGAACACGATACCGCATACTATATCCACAATCGCAAGGTTTGCAACATAGCTCCTAAATTCATAAATTATTCGGAAATTAGTGAGAGTAAACTGCACTCACCCAAAATCTCCAGTAACATGGCAGAATGACAAAATTAGCACGAGAATATTTGTGATTATACCTAACACAGCTAAGAATATTACTGCTATCCCGATAGTTGCCATAAAGATTTCAGCCTCAATAAAAAAATTTGTTGATACAAAGTGAAAATCTGATAATTTTCAGCGCTAACCTTATCATCTGACTCCTCTGTGTTTTCAGTCAAAATGATATCGGAGTAATTAACGAGGCTGTCCCAATAATTATTGTGATCAACTTTCAACGGCATATGAAGCTCGTTCATCTGGAATAGAATGCAAATCTGGAGTAAAACATTGGAAAAACAGAATATATCATAAAACATATGAAAGAGGCAAAAACAGCTTGCATAGAAAACCGCCTATGAAAGAGACACAAACAGCTTGCATAGAAAAACCGCCATCGGAACAAAAGGTATAGGCCTCAATGTCAGGATTTCACACAAAGGATGAAGGTATTCATTGCAACTTACGGAAGGATTAGTATGCATGTATGTACAACATGTTAAAACATTGGAAAGTCACTTTATTTCGTTATTAATTTCGCTTTTATAGAGTTGATAGATAAGTTTTGCAACTTAGTTCGCAACTTTTCTTAGATGTAGGGCTCTCGTTTTTTGGCATAATTTCGATTAGGTAGTGAGCTACAAAACTGCGCAAACTTTTCTGGAAAGTGGAAAATTTCGCTAGATTAAATCAGAAATTTCACCGGGCTGAAAAACAATTAAGTGGTTCTCAGCCAGCATCAAACGCATCGAGCCGAAACTGACAAGGATTAATAGATTTTATGTAGCAACCATCTTTGTACAGTTTCCTCTTAAAACGCTTGATACAGCCTGAGACGGCTTTATTTTTATTTTTGGCACAATGAAATTTCTGATTTGACCAGCTTTCGGAAAATGAGCACAATTTCGCCATTTCGCCACCACAAAGAAAACGATTTGCACAGCTTCATTATATCTGAAAATGAGAGTGCTACATCCAAGAACAGAAAAGTTATGGAACAAGTTGCAAAACTTCTGTGCCAACCTAATATAAACGTTCGAGTTTTTTAATTTCTCCTTATTTATACAAGACTGCAGCAAAATATAACTTTCCGCAGCGAAAGCTCTAGAAGAGCTCTTTCCAATGGTGAGACCTCTTGGCCGAATTCAGTTTTTTATAGTTTATGATCTCAATCATGATCCACTTTATAACATTGCTGAAGCGGTTTTTTCACCTTATTCAAACAATAAAGTTCGCGCAGGTCCAGATGTTACGTGTATTATACAAGCTTTCGGTTAATGCTTAAGGAACCCTGTGTTCTTACACTTTCTGTAACAAAAATCCAAGCTTCTGGAGAGACTTGTCTGTAAAAGAGCTCATCAACGATAATTCGTAGGGTGATTATGTTTGTTTCGTACAGGTTCTGCTACTGTGATATTCTTTTAGCTGTACTTACATAGCTCTGCATTTATCCAAAAAAAAACGGAAATGAAGATAGGCAGTAGAAATTGAAAGTAAAGACTGGGTACAGTTGTTAACTAAAACTGTTGTAAACGACAGAATCAGATGATCTAGTATAGGTAGGAGTAATAGTGCATTCAAAAAATGGTGATAAATTGCAAGAGAACATCGTATTCTCTGGTCTATAAACGACAAATAAAAATAACGAGAACCTGCTTACGCCTTCTCATAGATTTTCCCGTTTCTCTTGCCCTTAATCTCGACACCAAAAGAGCGTAAATTGGTATATTCCAAAGATCTGTGAATATGTGATAATTCGAAAATCTCAGCTGGAATTTACATGAGATCCACTTCCTGCACCATATCATCTTTGAAACTGTTCAAAGCGAGAGTAATCCGTATTTATAATCTTATTCGAACGCACATGAGCATGAAACCGATTTTAGCCGGAATCAGTGGAATAGAACAGCTTGACAAGAAGACTTAGCAGTAAAAAATTGTTAATTAGAGGTTTCGCTTCTACATCTATTCCCTATTGACGACGGGTTCCCGCGAAAAAGTCTGAAATGTTAAATTATAGTTTTTGATGCAATGAAATACTCATACAAGTGTTACTGGATGTGGAAATCGTCTTATGTTGATATCGATAAATGGTTTACTGCTTAATCAGCTGAATTTCGTTTATTTTGAGCTAAGAATTTGCATCGAACACTTCAAGTATCACTTGGGTACATCTCATACTGAAAGACCAAAAATGGATTACAAGCAACTGCTGTAGACAGCTTCAATTTTTTAAATCATTTTTGTTTTGGAAATATTTTGCAAGAATGGTCATTGCTCTCAAATTGAATCTTGTTTACCAAAATTACCAGATGACGCAGGTGATTTTATTTGGATTCAAATTAGAACAATATACATGTATGGCACAACAAGTGATGGATTTTATTGAAGTTTGTAAAAATCACATACTAAAGGAAAATTTTTGGGGGCATGCTCTTATTCGCTTCCCAGAGCAACGAACGGCGAAAAATTCTCAATGATCTAGAATTAGAGAGACATCGCAGCTGACGCTATGTTCAATACAATAAAACTGAGTAAAAAATAACGATTTCAAAGTTATTAGATGTGATGGAACAAATGGAGTAGATGTAAAAAGACTCAAAATTAAAAGAAATGAAATAAATATCTCGATAAAATCGTCACTTGTTAAGGCAGTTTCAACTTGAAGGTTTTCGCCCTATCAGTTTTTTTTACCTTAATCAATTGCTTCTCAGCCAGTTTTTCTATCTAAAGTTGAAGTATGGAAAGTGATGTAATCTTATAATGCTAATGAATCCGATTCCCACCAAAATTACTGAGTTAAATTGATTAAAACGAATTTGCATACGAATTCGATCACATTGTATGTGTTTCTTCTTTTACATATTTGATCAATGAGCTTTGTCTCAACTGAAATATAGGTAGCAAAAGCATTTTATTTTTGAGGGAAGAACATTAACGCAGCGCACCAACCAAACTCTGGGATACTTGCACTTTTTTGTTGCTTTCTTGAGAGTGCAGCTAGGATTTGCTAAAATTCTTGGGTATAGCTCAAAGGTGGCAATTTGCGAATCGTTGCAGAATCGTCCAATTCACAAATATGCTAGAAATTCGGAGGTGTAGCAAAATTTCGAAATTTTTGTTGAGGAAGGTCACTGCAAAGATATTTGCGACAACGTCTTAACAGAGTGAATGAAAAACATTTTGAGAGATTTTTGAGAATGATTTCGAATCGCTAAATCAACAGTTTAGTTATGTGCTCATTATCTCCCAAAGATTACTTTGAAAGAAGTAATAACATTCCGACAGTTTTATCATGATGAGTAATTCGTAATGGAAAATTTTACTGCAGTTGCTGCTTCCAAGAATTGGGATCATAGTTGTAGATTAAAGTGCTTGCTATAAATAAACTCCGGAGTTAGAAAAACACACAGTAAAAAAGTAATTACGTAAAAGTTTCAAATGTCTCGGTACTTTATAGATGGAAAATCTTTCATTTTGCTCTATATAGAGGAGAAATATAGTTTAGAAATGCGTTATGCGGACATTCCCGGAAATGTAAAACTTCAGTCGTTAGAAACCAAGGATTAAACGAAAAGCGCAAAAGAAGGAGGCTTGGAAGCTGCTTGCAGGAGCTTGCGAAAAATCCAAAGTATGAAAAAGAATGAACGAAGCCATGCGCATTCATTTGTGTTATAAAAGAAATTCTGAGATTGACGCCTGTCCACACAATCAAAGAAAGCGGAATAATTTTACATATTTCATACAAGACATATTCTCTGCACGCAAGGATATTCGAGCGACCCGCCCCTCGATGTATCCTTTTCTGCAATGGAGGCCTTGAGAAGAAAATTGAGAACTAGCATTTTATGCATATCTGAGCATTTTAGAGCTATCAATTTGACAGATGTTTAGAGGAAGTGATTTCAAATTTTTACTGACGTAAAAAGATTTGTGAGCGGAGTTGGGAGGGACCATTGCAGAAAATAATTGCTTGAAAAATCAAGGATTTTAGATCATTTGTCCAGATTGTAACTCTGAGGCAAAAGAGGGGAGTACTGAAAATTTTTTCGTAAACATAGATTTATTTCATATAGAATTCATACATGTGGAATTCACCAAGCTACAGATTATTTTATTCGATTTCGTTCCACCTAACCATTATAAACAAGCCACCCTAATTTTGTATATATATATGCCATGCCCTATGTGTTCTGTACAAGCGTCCCGTGATTCCGCCTGGAACCTGGAGCGCGAATCTACCCTGGAGCGCCTTCTAAAGCCTAATCGAGAGGCCGACCGCTTCGCAAGCATGTGAAGCGACGCACAAAAATTTGCTACACCATCTACACTTTCGAATTAGAGAAAAAACATGATGTTTGCTGCAAAAAAATTATTTCAAACATTCGACGACATTCGACAATAGCGACATACACTATGACTTCATAATCCTATGCTTTGAACAGGTGGTAAATATCTAGGAATTTCACTGAAACAATGCGATTAACTCCATTCTTGTTTTAAATGCCACGCAAAGCTTTAGGAAATCGTTCAAGCATGAATGAACATAAATATGATGCAGCGAAGAAGGAACAAGCTGAGTAATGTTACATTTCTTGCCTGGTCAACCTTACTTCCGGTACTCATTGTGATTTGTGCACTTCGTTAATTTTTTGGATCTTTCAAGATGAGTAATGGAATGGTTTTTTGGCATTTTATTTATGGTCATGGAAAATTTCAATAACCATTGGTTCACTTTATTTAGGTACAGAACATGTTCTGAGAAAAAAGACGGCAGACGTCAGGCTGTAAATCACTTTGAGAGTAAAAGCAATGAGGTTATCGTATGGGGGCTCAGAATCAAATTTGTTGACCGAGGAGAAGTAAACGCGCTCCAATCGAGGAGGGAACCACAAAAATTAGTGTTATTTCTTTTCATCTCGGACTACTCTCTTCAACTAAAAACCCAAAATTGGTTACCATGCAGGTTACTCCTGAAAGGTTAATCTCAAAAAATCTGCAGCGAAGAAGTTTTTGTTTCTCAAAGATCCGGCAACCCTCGTCCCACATTCTACTAGAAAATGTGATAACCGACTCAAATGAGTTCGGAGAGAGAGAACAAGGTAATAAAAGCGAGGAACTTTGAAAATAGCACTTACTTTCATAAAAGTTGTTTCACACAATTAGTAGAAGTGAGATGTAATAAGTGATAAGGTTGTATGACAAATACCATAAAAAGGGAAATATGATGACTGCACAATGGACGTGCAGTTTATGACTT